TGCGGAAGCTTGTCCCACTGTAACTGCTTCATCTTGGCACTAGGTGTAAATGGCATATCTTTGCGAGCAGAAAGTAGGACATTGAGATTTGCACTGAGGAACATGGATGCCCGAGCTGAACTGGATGCAGAACTTGGGGCAGAAGTAGCACCCTTCAGGAAAGAGGGTGGCGGGGGTGGCGGCGGGGGTGGGGCACTGGGAAAAGTTGGAAGAGGAGGAAGATATCCAGGGGGTGGTGGTGGTGGTGGCGGCGGCGGCGGCGGCGGCGGAGCGGTAGATGACGGGGTTAATTCATCATCATCTTTCGGTGGTACTGGTGGAGGAGGCGGCGGTGGAGGGGGAGGGGGAGGAGGTGCTGCTGTGACGTCAGATTCCTCAGCGAGGGAGGCAAGCAGAGATGGCGTTGGACTACCCTCCGAGACAGGTGGTATTCGACCCCGGGATTGCAGTTTTCTAGCAAGCTGTTCAGTGAAGGACACAGTAGTGGGTCCACGAGAGGCTTCTGAAGAGCCGTCCGAGTTAACAGAGGTGGGTTGGGTATCATCGGTGAAAGCAGTGAATCCACTGCGTGTGGATTGACCAAATTCGCTCTCCGCATCAAGCTCTTCACGAAGTGATGACTCGTTATCACTGTAATCAAGTGTGTTGTCGTACCGAGGCGCGAGAAGATTATTAGCGCGATGTGAACGGGGTAGTGATGGTGTGTCATCGCCTGGTATCAGACGGTTTGTACGCCTAGGTGAACGATTGATACTCCGAGGACTAGCGACAACACCATCTTCAGGCGATAACTGTACAACGCCAATGAGCATTTACAAGCGTTGCTAATGAAAAGATCGTACAAATTTGGCATTCGCTGCAAGCTGATGGTTGATTTGTGCCCGTTCATCCGCTTCGTCAGCATCCATGAATTGCGACTCGTGACCGTTAAGGACTCCAGATATCCGGGGAGCCTTGGAATGTTGCGATCGGCCTCTTGAACCATTAGCGCCCCGTTGGACATCAGACTTCCGAGGAGTGGCGTCATCATCCAATTGGTCGTTTTCATCACTTTCACCGTCCTCCTGTTTGGTATCTTTCGTTTTCTTACCACGTCCCTCGAGGATGCTGATGGTTTTGGTTCGTTCGAGATGCTTGTTCAGGGTCTCTATTAAGGTCTTCCGGTCCATGGTCCCAGAACTAGAGTCGAGGATTTTCTCGTAACCCTTGCCAACCTCCCTCAGCATTCTGAACAGTTCCATGATCTGAGCTTCCAGTTGAGCTATTTGTTCCTCATACCCGGCTTTCTGCGTCTCAAGTTGTCCTTGAAGACGCTTCGTGGTTTCCCGGTGAGAGCCAAGCTTCTGTTCGAGGAGAGCGACCTGTGCCTTAAGATGGCCGACGAGACCGTCTGAACCTTGTGACATCTCCTCTTCAAGGGCCTCCTTCTCAAGCTTCAGACCCAGAGCCTGAGAACGAGCTTCAGCAGCCTCTTGAATGGCATCCTGATATCGCTGAGCATCGTTTAGCTGGCCAATAATCCGTTGAACGGTGTGCCCAAGTCTCTTCTCCGCGGAAGCAAGTTTCCCATCCATGACCACGTCCGTGACCAGCGAGTCCAACAACTGATAGAGGCGCATCATATCAGGACCTTCCTCCCGGATAAGTAGTAGATGCCGCATCATAGAGAGGAAGTACTCCTTGGCACCTGTGCTCTCCGTTTTGTGACGAAGAGCATTCCAAATGTCTTCAGCGCTATTGAGATCGCGAAGTATTTGCTGGTCGTACCGCTCCCGTAATTTTTGCTCATCTTCTTTCAGTATTTCCTGCAGTTCTGCGAGCTGTGCCTCCATGGGCTCAGTACCGATCTCGTGACATAGAGCAATGATACGCTGAAGACCAGCAGAGTCCATTAACGAGCGATGGTGCAGCCGTACGTCCAAGTCTTCTATGGCGTCTAAAATATGAACAATCACGAAAAGATTGGTTGACTAGAGACAAATTAATATTCTAGCTAGAGCGCAAGTAAAACATACTTACCGCATAATCTGCGAGGGAATTGTCATGTCCAGCGCCTTTGCGAACTTCTTCGCTAGCTCCGACCAGACTCCCCATCTTGCCCCTGCCCAGGAGCGCGCTCTCAAGAGACCTGAACCAATAATCATAATATCCGTGTGTCTCGCCATTGGCGCCACTAAGGGCTTCTAAAGCTGGAAATACTAATGAAAGAGGGTCTGTACCGTTGTAAATGATAGAGAGGAGGACTTCGCAGATCACTTTGCGATTTGGGAGATGAGGTGAATTGAGAGAAGACGCGATTTGAGTGACGACACCATTCAACTTTATAGCGTCGCGCACTCTAGACTAAAGCACCCGCGAGGATCTGAGCCCAATGAACCATGACGAGCAAATGAAAAAGAAACATACGGCGCTGTTAAAGATAATCTTCAAACACTTGGCGATCTCACCCTCGAGGTGCGTATCAGATGGGAGCCTATAAGAGGCTTTAGTGTATGGACCTGAATTTAAAACAACGGTGCTACCTCTTGGTACCTTTACGGCTTATGTGCATTAGCGCCTGCGCCAATACAGATGCGCCCTGCAGCTCAATGAAGCGTTCAAGCCAACTAAACAGACCAAGGTTATCAGAAATTACACTGCAAAGACTAACATCCCACCTCGTTTCATGACTCTTTAAAGATACCCAAACACTGGAGGCCTGTTTCGCAGTGATGGTGTTGTCGAGGAACTTCCTAATATACCAGTCTGGTGTTCCCTCGCCAAGAGAGCCTGCTGCACTTGAATCACCCTGCTTCCGAGCCTGTTCCTCTCGAGTCTTTTCCTCCTGCCATCGTAATTGTTCTGCACCATATACCAACTGCCATTTCTGTTCAATGGTGAGCTTGTTCACCGGAGGGAGGTCGCGAGTCGCTGATACGTGTTCAAAGAGAGCTTCGATGTCCTCATCTCTGTCTGGCCGGGGAAGGACAAATTCTTCCTGGTTTGAATGAGGTTTATGGAAGAAATGCGATAGATGGCTGGAATGAGTATCGGAACTTGAGAAGCGAGAGGCACGCTCGGCTTCCGACGAAAAAGGCATAGAGGAGCCAGGTCGAAGAGAAGAGTGAGATACGGCCGGTGAAGATGGGAGAGGAATTGAGCCAAAATCAGCGCCATTCGGACTACGTCTGCCTGATGAACCAGATGCTTCACTTCTACGAAGTTTATGGGTGGGAGTCTTGGGTCGCTTTCCGGTGGTGAACGAAGCCACGGAATCATTGTAAAGAGTGAAGGAATCTGCTGCGCTAACACTAGAATCTGGACGAGAAATGTTGGTTCGATCCCGTTCGAGTCTGCTGCGCTGGTAAGCAGTGAAGTGACTATAATTCATCTCGGTCCCATTGTGAGTAAGAGTGGGGTTTGTGAGGGGAGCTGAAATAACTGGATTTGAAGATGTACCCCGCAAGCCTTGAGACACGGTTCCGACAGGCATTGGGACCAGAGAGGCAGGAGCAAGCTTGTCATAGGGAATAGAATGCTCGGAGAGATCACGACCTGTAACCGAGGACTGGCGGGGCCGTCCTTTCTTCCTACCAAATACTATGTCCATTGTTAAGGACGTTTCTACTGGGCTGAGCCCGTCGACTCTGCAGAGACGAGGGAAAGGATATCCAGAAATAAAAAATAATTAAGTAGATGAGCGCGTCCGTGCTGTTGTCACTAATGTACACTAGCACATTGCCAGCCACTTCCAAATAAAGGTCAACAACGTGAGATTCTGAATCAGACCAAAGCCCCTATGCATCCATACATATTTAGTCGCCTTCACTGGTACTGACAATGAACAAATCACTTTTGCAACGTTACAAAATCTGTTACTCGTCTTGCATTCTTTTCTTTACGCACAATCGTTGACGTCCGTCTCACTCTTGCTGAGAACGATCTGTTGTTCATCCATGTCTGCGTCTGTCTCATTCAGCTTCGGTAAGCACCCGCGTATCAAACATATGGAACGCATGTTTATACAGTTCAAGGTACCATTGTCATGATCATATTTGTCCTCATAGTCATGGTCACCATCCTCGGCATACTCTTGCTTGTCATCGTGCGTATCCGTCGCCACAACAATTGCTACGCCTGCCACTCGTTCTCGAGATTTCCCCGGAGCAAGGAGAGTACGGACGATGACTCAACTGTCTCTATCTCCCCTTCCTGTCCGACGGTTGTTGGTCTTACCTCCACCAAGGGCTTTCCTATCATACATATGACTGTCACTCCACCTACCCCAGCGCAGGTTCTCACACGGTCAGACAAGCTTGATTCTTGCAAGAAGGATGAGGTTCACGAGTTGCCTTTCAACAGCCATAGCGATGACATAGTAGTGTATGGGTATGCTATATGATAATCACACCTATCAGATACTCTCATTTGTGGACATCTGTATTAATGGACACATTGCAGTGTAATCTGATTGCCCAGAATAGTGGTGGACTGAATGTCGCAAATGAAAACATTCAAAAAGAAAACCGTCACAAAGACGGGGGGGTATGCAAAAAATTGTTGGACTCCGTGGGTCACAAGGTTATCAACCTTCACCACTTGCCATCACTGCCGCTAACCCACAGCGCCCGTAAAGAGCTGGACTCATCCACTTTCGAAGCAAAAAGCTTTCCCCGCTCGGATCAATCCCAACCGCCGCGCACCGCGCCAGAAGGGTGGCAACACGTACTTTCACTTAGTCACTTCCCGAACTATCCTTGTCGTTTGCACAACTCGGACCGTCCATCCACACTCGCACATCGCCCATCACCGTCTCCACAACGTGCGTCGCGGAAGTCGCATCCAGTCCAGGATACGTCGTTGATCACTCAGCTATCGCTCGAGGTCTGGAACACACTCCTGACAACTTCCCAATCACCTTCTTGTTCGTACGCCAGTTGCAGTAAACCAAAACAGCCACAGCCTCCATGAGCCCTTCACCCATCATCAACATGATCCCTCTAGATCTACCTGTCTTGTGTGTAATCTTGTCATCTGGGAAAGGAGCATGCACGCCCAAAAGCCGTCCCATCACCGCTGAACTTGAGAATAAGTCTCTGTCACTGATCCCGAAGGAAGGGTGATGCAGCGGAATGACAGTAGACTTGAGGTGTGAGAGCCAAACCCATGGTTAAAGACGAAAGAAGACAGGATCGAACCAGTTGAACCTGCGAATAGAGATCCCAAGTAACCCGCAGGGCGGACTGAACATGGATACGAGGGACAGACCGGCGAATCGAAGGAGGTTGAAAAAGCAGATGCGCATTCGACAGACCAGGTCTTGGCGATGATCCCACCGACATAAGTCAGTTTCGAGCGAATGACCTTGAACATAACCTGAACCTTCAAAATGACAACGGTCAGCAGCGTCGCAAATACAGTCACAGAACGCGTTAAAATGTGGAATAAGTTAATCATATGCGGCAACTCCGTAGCATGCCTCTGACATATAGGGTAGGAGAGCCGAAGCTGCGGGGACGACAGCAAAGTTGTACCCATAACGCTCTAGCCGAAACAGTCTTTAGTATCCCTTTCCTGTTCGTACCACATTCGCGACCAAGTGCATTCCAGACCAGGCTCCACCTCGCAGACCACCGCGAAGCCAGGATGATGTTTGCTGCGCACGCCGGCGCTTTGAAGCTACGCACATTTTCCCGTTCCAAAGGACGACAGAGAAAACAAACATTGCTCACGGCGAGCAAATTCTAAGACGCCGAGGATGAGGAGCGGATGATCCCAACGAGACCACACACAACTCGAGGAAAGAGTCAAAGACTCGGGCTACGGGAATCATGTGCGTTGACCTGCTAAAGAATATGAACCACGAGGGGTGAGGGCAATGGCGCAAGTCAAGATAACCGATCTTCCAAAAGCGGCCCTGGGCAAATTGATCTCTACAGAAATCTGTGCGTGACCCAGAATGCACGCCACTGGCAGTTAACCACAGAATGCGAACCAGTGCGTAATCCGCTCCCTCTCTTGAAAATCACCAAATAAAATCCCGCGACACCTCTCTAGCACTCGTTCCGTGGTTCAACCTCTGCCCACGACATGAACCGAAGCATTCCCGGCACCACCTTCCCTTTGACCGCGGCCATGTCAGACGTACGAAAGTTATTAGCTTTCTGTGCGTGATATCTAGACATGTCCGCAAAGGGTTCCCGAGGCGGCACATGCGTAGGTCTGTGCGTATGCGTGAGTGGAGGTGATTCCATGGTCGGTTACGAGCGCGTTCCGAAGAGGCGATGAAGGTGGTTTCAAAAGAGTTCATCACAGGAGAAATCAGCAGCAAGCGGGCAAACGCGCGAGGCGTACATGGAAGACCATCCTCGTAACGCGGCCCAACCCCAGAACAATGCCGCATTGTTTGTGGTCCATGCAAGTAGAAGTGTATTCTCCCCGTAGTCGAAAATCATTAGGGTTAGTTATTCATCCGGTTAGGATGGATGTTGTGGCTGGAAGCAGCGATGAGCTTGATGGTGGTCTGGATAGCATAATGGTGCGAATGGTCTCCCGAAGTGGCCAGGGTGATTGGAAAATGGACAGCAGACGCTGGACATAGTAGAGTTTGGTATAGAGAAGAGAAAGAGATGTGTCACTTGAATTTATTGACATGGTGTTGTTTGGTCGAATAACAACGCGTAAACTGTGGTGACGCCACTTCTCCTTTCGTCCTCGTTACATTTACATAAATAAATTCGCGACATATGCAATCGCACACAATAACGCTAGCTACCATTACCCTTAAAATCACATCTATGCTACATGACAAGCCTCTAAATGAGATAGTATCCTTTCTACATGCGTCCCACTGTACTAAACCATCCTTCACTGGGTGTTCCAGGTCCTTCATCAGCATTGTAAACACTTGTCTCTGGCCAGGTATGTGTACGAAGGCTAGAACGAAGGTCTCAGCATGATGTTAGGACAATGCTAAGAATATATTCAATACCTAGAACGAAGGTCTAGATAGTACATGAGTGAATATGAGTATGTGCAAGAGCTGCTAAGTGGTACTCACCTCAGCGTGATGTTAGGACAACGCTGAGGTGAGATGACGCAAACAGCGCTACTGATATACGAACATGGCAGATCTGTGGCTGAGTGTCGAAGGTGGTACTGTATAGTATGTAGCACAAGGTCCAAAGAGATAACTAGAGATAAGACACCGGTAGCATATGCTGCTACCGGTGACAATGATACCGGTGCAGAAGAATGGACATACGATTACCAAACATACAGATCAAGAAGCAGACAATGTCATATCAAACATATGAGACATATGGGCAAGAAGCAAGGAAGCGGAATGACGTATGACCAACAGTATGGGTCAACCACGCTGATGTACCAAACAGCTGGCGGCACAGCTCCAATAAACCCTCTATGGTATCAACCATATCCTTCATGACCTCACCTTCCGCAACTGAGTATGCCAGGGAGATACCCTTAACCAATACATCCGAGTCAATACCCCATCGCAGAGAGGCTTCTATTCTTGATTCGAGTGTTTCAAGTGCTTGTCTTGCAGATGGGAGGAACTGCGGTAGAGGTTGTCGAGCTTGAAAGATGTGCTGACACGCAAACAGCGAGATGCAGATACAGGATATCTGACAAGGGCATCTGATGCAGTTCAGTAGCCGAGTTCGTTGGTACATACAAATTCCTTCCGTTCTTTCATGACTGACACGATAGTCTCCTTTTGGGGTATATTTCCCCATATCTTTCTAAGACCAGTCATCAAGTCAAGAATCTTCTGTATTTTGAGGACAACTTCGCGGTAGTGATGCATTGGTTTCTGCGGACGACTTAATTATGAAAATTGAACCGCGTGATTGAGCCTACCGGCACTAGACTGAGTTCGTCATTCATGGTAGTCAGCAGCGATGATGATCAATGAAGCACATTGCGAATTTGAAGTTCTAACTTGAACACCTCTTGTTTGTCATGCGGCGTAAATGGGTATATACTCCGGAACATCCCCCTAGAATTAATTTAGGAGGAGCACATCATGAACGGAGGATAACGTACTGTACAAGGAGAAGGTATAACTGGCTGAGTAATCTCAATGTCGTGCTGGTCTGATTCAGAAACAACACCTTCTGGATGTTAGCAAATAAGGTCGATAATAGACAATATTGCCATACCTGGCTGTATTGAGGAAAGACAAGACTATTCATTATCAATGCGGCGATGATGCCCAAAGCAATCATTGAGGCCCTCATCCAAGCTAAGTCTGCACAATCGTAAGATATATTCATACCAGGCCCACGAGTAAAAATCAATACCTCGTGTAGACACTCCTGAATCCAGAGTTAGGTATTGGTATAGCATGACAGGAGGGAGCATAACAGACCTGGATAACGATCAACATCATGCAAAGCAAGTCAAACGGAGACATTATGCGACAACACCCAAGGATGGAATCCTGCTTTTCATGACAAGCCACGTAATGGGTATATCAAACAACTGGTAACATTAGTCAGTAAATGCAGGGTGGTGTCAATTCATCAGAACTATTTACTGTAACCATTGCCACTATGCCAATGGGATTTCTCCCGCAAATAGCCCATGTCTATGCAAATGCGGTCAGCACATGAAAATGATGGTATCACAGGACGCACAATATAAGCATAGGTAGCTCCTAGAATGGTCCCTGACTATCAAATACATGAACATGTCGTCGCAGTTTTTGATCAAATGGGATTTATGAGACACAAGTAACCAACGCGCCAGGTCACTCCAGTATTGGTTTCAAGGACCCATACGTAGCTGATAATCATCCATTGGCTGTGGATCCACCTGAACCACTGAAAACCTAACATTGATGCCATGACAATTCATACTTGACTAGGGATGCGAATAGACAAACCTGCTGAGTGAGAAGGAAGAAAAGCCAGAAAACTTAACATGGCCACCCCAATGGCATTTTTTGTCGCATGCTGCAAATGACTGGAACATTGCGTGTTGCGGATTACTCTTGATTAGCGATAACTGTGGGACAGTAGGTATGTTTCTGGTGGCATGGGAATAGGAAACCTCTTGACTCATTGTGTCATCCTGTTGATCAACAAAAGCAACGCCTTGATGGACTTCCTCAGCTGATAGTGTTGTTTCTGCTTTGAAAGCATCATGGGTTATAGGTGCCCCATATTCCTCCATTATGAAAGTTTGGTGTAGGAATACAACACAGAGTGGGGCTATACAAAGATGGCTCCAAACTGATATCTTTATGTTGTGGTCTTGCACTGCCTAGTCTGCTATACTTGGTGAGACAAGTGTGTTCGACCCAGGGGTCTGTGGTCTGGGAATAGTTTTGGGGGTCAGTGAGTGATGTGTGGTCAATAGTCCGAGTGCGGGAAATAATGTCTGAAGGTATAATTATGATGTCCGATGCAAAAGTGTTGGGTTTGATGTTTTCGGGGTTTCAGGTTATTGGGCTTGGGTTTGGGGTATCGGAAACTAATAATAATGCGATAGTGAGCATCGGGAAAGTGAGAGGTGTGCGCAATAATAACAAATGACTGATACGGGCGGTGAAGGAACGATGATATTTGCAATGTCAACTAAGAACTACAAAATATTGGGTTTGACCCCTAAGCGTCGGAGAACGGCTCTCCTCTACTTGGATGATAATAATGCTATGGGGAGTCCAATATTTATGTAGATATGTAGAAGTCTGGAACCCTATAGGCAAAAGTAGTAGCGCAATATTTTCAGGTCCGATGTCCTATGTAATAAGACATGAGGTGCTGCGGACATGTAATAATGTGGTCTAAAATGTTAGTGATGTGAAAACAAGTAACTATGCACCTAGTGGGGCTAGCACAATGAGACAGGACATAGGTAGGATGAGTACACGTGAAGTCTGATAGTCTGATGTCTGATGTGTGAAGTCCAATGTCCAATGTCCAATGTCCAATGTCTGATGTGCGAAGTCCGATGTCCGATGATTTTCGGGTTTGGTGCGTATTGAGTTGGATATGATAGGGGAGGATTTGGGTAATGATTAGCATTGATACGTGCATCGGAAATTAGACCTCTACGAGGCCACGGAGATGTCAGTCTCTACATTGGGGCACAATGTTAAGAACATGCTCAAGGGTCGGATCCGAAGGGCTTGGCTTCAGCTTGTGCGCTGCGCCCCTTACCCGAGTATGTGCCCCTAACTTCCGAGGGCTAATAGACGATGTCCAAAGGTTGTCGGATGATGTCCAGAGTCCGATGTCCGATGCGCGGGAATTCCGGCGGATGTTCGGAAACAAGTGATAAGACTAATCCAGATGATGTCCGAACTAGAAAGGAAACAGCGGAGGACTACCGAAGGTAGAGGCAGAGGTGTTAAGTCTATAGGAGTCGATCCTAAGACTATCGGAGGACGACAAGAGGAGAACTCAAGTCGGACGGAGGAGGGAATGAGCAGAGTCTAAGATAATATTCGAACTAAGGAAGTACAAAGATTCTACAGGGTTTATATACTACAGAGGTGGAATCCCTCCCTAGAAAGTAGCACTTACATCTCATATCTCTATATACGCACGTGCACCTTCCCGCGCCTCACGCACGCCTGCGCTTTCCCGCGCTTCGGATCAGCCAACCAGTAGCGCCTACTACTAGATCTTTGCTGCACTCGCTTCCCCTTTAGGGTCGAATGCACTTGTTGTCTCAAGTATAGCAGACTAGGCAACGCGCGACCTTACAACATTTATAGATACAGCCAGGAACCTCGTTTGTGCCTTGCAGTATCGTTGAACCTTCAACAGCTTTTCACCCAACCAGCTTTCAGGATATCTTGTTAGTTGTGTCTCTATGGCATACAGCGGAAGACAAACCGAAAAAGCTGATTATCACAAGGAATACAGCTGGTATGAAATGGGATGTTACCAATCCCTCCTGCGGAATAGTTGCAAGGTATTTGGCGAAGGTCGATATGCCAATACCTGCCAGGGCACCCGTGATGTTTATAATAGTGATTTCAACCTGCTGTGCCAGATCCTCTTGGACAGAGAATACCAGCTCTTCCAAGCTCAACACAAGGAAAGCCAACGATCCCCCCAACTGGGAAAACAGATGAATGGTCACAAAAAGTACGCAGAGAAAAGTAGAAACGACCCGGGCCAATGCACGATGGGAAATACACTGTTTTACAAACTTATACAGCATCCAAGTCGACTGTGTATGAAGACAAGTGAAAAGACTATACCTGAAATGAGAGCTTATAAAGGGCTCCACATGCCTTCAAGTCACAGCTAAATTTGTTTCTTGCGTAAACAAAGAGTAACCGCAAGCTGGCAGGAGTCAGCCAAGAGTAGTACCCTGAGTCCCCCAGCCGCTGTCCAGACTTGAACTGACCTTTTACATAAATATATTTGACCTGCATACTGGATCCGAGTCTGCGTCAATTGAGCCACGGAATTTGAATTGCGTCGGGCTTCACCTCATTATAGTCCTATGGACTACAGGTTGGGCCAAAAAAACTGGTTTCGAGTCACCTGAACTGTCTTCAGTGGCGGTGTAGGACACGAGCTGGCGCTGGGCTCGTATCGAGCTATTTCACAGTACACGCCAAATACCCGTCACATGCTAATCACTTCCCGATGTCATCCGACGCTAACCCGCCAACCCGACGTTTAGGCCGCATCGGACCCGATGTTTTCCCGCACACTTGTCCTATCCGTGTCCCGTCTCGTCTTGCTAGCCCCACTAGGTGTGTAGTTCATTATTTCGCACATTACTCACGTCGTAGCCAGCGCTATTACATGTTTTCCCATAGTCCGCAGCGCCTCATGTTTATTTACATGTACTTCGGATCCGAAATACTCCGCCGCTACTTTCGCCTACGGGTTCCGCATTTCTATGTACTTACATATATATTGGACTGACCTCGAGCATTATTCATTATCCAAGTAGAGGGGAGCAGTTCCCCGACGCTTAGTGGTCAAACCCGATATTTCGTAGTTCTTAGTTGATATTGCGAATATCATCGCTCTTTCATTATCCGTATCAATCATCATTGTTATTATTGTGCACACCGCTCGCTCTTCCGACGCTCGCTATAGCGTTACTATTAGTTTCCGACACCCCGAACCCGAACCCGATAACCCGAAACCCCGAAAACATCGGACCCGACGCTTTTGCATTGGACATCGTAATTATACCTTTGGACATTGTTTCCCGCGCTCGGACTATTGACCACATATCACTCACTTACCCCCAAGACTATTCCCAGACCGCAGACCCCTGGGTCGAACGCACTTGTCAGGCAAGTATAGCAGACTAGGCAGTGCAAAGACCACAACACAAAGATATCAGTTTGGAACAATCTTCGGATAGCCAAACTCAGTATAGTTGTTTCTACAGCGGCAACGTTCACTACGTTGCAACATGTTTGTATATATTTGGTGGGTGTGAAATTTGAACGCACCCAGATCTACATCATAACCCTAAGCAGGTTAACAGCCACAGCTGTCACACTTCGGATCGACCTCATCGACATCGGGCATCAATATTGTATGTATCCCAGTGCTTATTGATATCCCCCTTTGAGCTGATAGTTTTAATTATTTGGTCTTGTGACATCCCAATATTGAGCATGAGGCTCCCATTGGAGTATAAGTAGCTCTGGCCTCATTGGTAGGGTCAATATTGCACAGACTTCACTGCATGAATTTCCTGCCTTCCCTGCAGGTTTTTTCTGCATTCAGGTGAATCATGTTATGATTTGTGTTCGACCAGTTGACAAAGCCAATCTCACCAAATTTTACCAGATCTTATCATATTGCTGTCTGCATTGTTGGTTGCGAATATGCCGAGGCTTATGGCAACGAGCCCTTGTCTGTCCGAAATCTCAGTGATGTTTCAAAATTTTGTAGGTACTTCGCTGACTGCACCCAGCAAGTTGAGTTATTTCAGTGACTGTTGAAAACACCAGATGCTTGTAGTCCTCTCTCATAATTGTTCCATGAGGATAGATTGTAACAGGTCACACAGCAAACATTCAAAGGGCATGCAACCAGTTGCATCCAAATTAAGCTGAGTGGACATTTTTATGCAAGTAATTACGAAAACTAATGTTCGCTAAGCAGCAGGCTAGGTAAGGTTCAGGTACTATGTAAGGTTATTACATGTTATCCTGGTAATGTGTGCGATGGGACCTGAGGCCTGAATTGCTTCATACTTACATATGGAGGTAAAACCTTTGCAGGCAAAAAGAGGCAAAAGCAAAGGATACATACTATTGGTTACTGGTTTACCACTTGCTCGTGCACACCACATTTCGTGCAGTCACAGAAAAGTCACGGAAAGTCACGGTTTAGTCACACTGGCTTTTTACAGACCGACTCGAGTGCGTGCCATCCTTGCACGTCTGAGTTGAAATTTGAAACTCCGCTGCGGCAGCGGACGGCAGGTGACAATGGAAGTGACAAAAGCCTTTGTCACAACCAAACATTTATTTCTCTTGTTTCTTGTCCGAATGCATCTCTCTAAGCTCGTAATAGGTTCTTGTGTATTATTATTTCAAATAGATGTAGTAGTTTGACAAGTTGTAGTAGGAAAAGTGTGGTTTTGGAGGATGCACGAAGTGTGGGGATGCACGAGCAAGTGGTAACCAATAGTACTTACACATCGGGGGTTTCAACATTTCACCTCTTCAAGTTACAAGATTTCAATCAAAGCAGATCTGGACCTGGCTAGAGTGTTCCAGAGCACCCTAGATTACCTTTCGAATGTAATTTCACTGGCAGCAAAAGGTGGTAAAGTGACAGTTTCCCCGCTGTGTTAGTGTGCTCTATCTTCGCAGCTATAACGGTCACAGTCACCGTGCTAGATGCGGCGTCGCCGGTTTTGCAATACGCCAAACACTGGTGCAACAGAAAGTGCATATTACATCTTCGGCCACTACCTGGCCTTCGTGGAGATCCGTCTCGCAGCTTTAAGTGCCCATGCAACACAGCTTTGCATGTTCAAGCAGGGGAAACTAATTCTGACTTTGGCTGGGCTGTAGATTCTTTGTTGTCTGACCATGAGAAGATATCATGACCTGAACGTTGAACTTCTATGCGACTGTCTTATCTGGGTTCCCCATAGGTAATCAAACAAGAAAATATGAGTGTCGCAGTATCCCCACGTTCCCTGTTACATGTTGCTACATACTTACATAAAAGCTGTTCTCGAAGATTTTGCAGGTATGATACGTATAGGATCCATAGGCGCACTACAGATAGTATCTGGGGATAATACAAATGGTGATATACATTACTACGATCTGCTTCCTGGCAGTCTGTTTTTCTTACCACTAGCTCTTATAAGATGGGTTTTCCTCGTGGGTTCCATCCATTCAATGCTAGCGCTTGTGTCTCACTTGTTGTTTCTTCATTTGTCAAACATTCTTGTCACACTGAAATTTCATTGTCAATTTTCACCTTCATTGCAAAGGGGTGAATGCTTGAGCTCTGGGTACTAAAATGCATTGGAATATGATACTGCGGGTATCTCCTAGTACACCTATGACAGTCGATAGTTCGAAAATTACCTTGTTTACCAAGGTCACCCAGAGGTATAATTGTGGCGCGAGTGACCTGATTTTGACACTCCAACTCAAACCTGACTTCTGATGATTGAAGAATTCCGCATCATGGCATGACGCCTTACCTATTGCTGCGGCTTTTCCATATCCCTCCTCTCTACCTACAGTTGACCACTTCTGCCTCAGGTGGAGGCAGCTCTGGTTCTACATGCGCCTGCCTCAGGCGGGTGCTTGTATGTCCATGTTTGTATAGGTGGAGCCCTACCCGTGCTGATCAATATCCTCCCGGCTGCATGTGTACATTTGTATCTTATGTGCTACATAGGTCAGTGCTTTGGCAAATCTCGTTCATGTCGTCAACTTATTCTAAATGATCACTTCTCAAGTCTCTGCTTTTCTTCCCACCAACACTTCGTCTCTTTATCCAACCTCTCCAACCTTTCATCCTACACTCTGAGATGTTCGCATGGATGTGTGGTAAACAGGCACTCGTCGAAGTCTCGCAGTAAACGGATGTGATCCTTGCCATGTCCTTAGGATAGTGCAACATATGCATTAAATAGTGTGAGTTTTGCGCTGGGTGGAGTGCCGATATATATGATTGAGTGACTGATTGTTTGTCCTTGTGACCTGTAGTCAGTGAATGCATAGGCAGATGTCAGCGGCAGCTGGCTATGGGTGACGGTTTTCTTTTCACCCCCAGGTCCATGGATGCTGAATGATTTTTGCATCGGCATTATTGGTATCACTCCTTGCTCCAGTGTTTCGAGTCTGGCTGCTTTCGTGCAGTCCAGCTTCACAAGAACATATGCTGGAGGAAATCATAGTTTGACCCTGGCACTCGTCTCTGAATATGCTGTCTCTCTCTCATCCAAAACTACATCCACAATTTCACCCTGTGCACCATTTGCCACATCAAGATCTGTCTCGACGTTGAATGTGACCATCACCTTTAATCCAATTGCGAGTTCAACCTTGTGTGGCAGTCCTCCCCTTGCCTCTCGCCCGCTTCCTTTCTTCGGCTTCATTGCCACCGCAAATCACTCTTCTAATGTCAGTGGGCGTCCATGGATTGTGTCATATGCAGCAGATACTAATAGTTGTCTGTCTGTTCTCTTGCAGAACTCTTGGCCCATGGCAGCATTCCGCTGTGTGCGTACAGCATGATGAGGGGTTATGAGCACTGCATTGTTCCATGGTGCTGTACTGAAACTCGTTGGAGGACACTCTGGATTGGTGATGATAAGTGAATGAAGCAGCTTGATGTGGTGTTCACGACAATTCCCATAGCAAACATGTTGCAATAGATCTTGCCATTCCAGTGTAGAAACAACAATACTGAGAGGAACTATACGAAGATGGCTCCAAACTGATATATTTGTGTTGTGGTCTTTGCACTGCCTAGTCTGCTATACTTGCCTGACAAGTGCGTTCGACCCAGGGGTCTGCGGTCTGGGAATAGTCTTGGGGGTAAGTGAGTAATGTGGGGTCAATAGTCCGAGCGCGGGAAACAATGTCCAAAGGTATAATTACGATGTCCGATGCAAAAGCGTCGGGTCCGATGTTTTCGGGGTTTCGGATTATCGGGTTCGAGTTCAGGGTGTCGGAAACTAATAGTAACGCTATAGCGAGCGTCGGAAGAGCGAGCGGTGTGCGCAATAATAACAATGACTGATACGGGCGGTGAAGGAACGATGATATTCGCAATGTCAACTAAGAACTACGAAATATCGGGTTTGACCACTAAGCATCGGGGAACTGCTCCCCTCTACTTTGATAATGAATAATGCTCGAGGTCAGTCCAATATATATGTAAGTACGTAGAAATGCGGAACCCATAGGCGAAGATAGCGGCCGATGATTTCGGATCCGAAGTACATGTAAATAAACATGAGGCGCTGCGGACTATGGGAAAACATGTAATAGCGCTTGCTACGACGTGAGTAATGTGTGAAATAATGAACTACACACCTAGTGGGGCTAGCAAGACAGGATGGGACACGGATAGGACAAGTGCGCGGGAAAACATCGGGTCCGATGCGGCCTAAATGTCGGGTTGGCGGGTTAGTGTCGGATAACATCGGGAAGTGATTAGCATGTGACGGGTATTTGACGTGTACTGTAAAATAGCTCGATACGAGCCCAGCGCCAGCTCGTGTCCTACACCGGATCCGTGACTCGTACTTGTTCCTTCAATCGAACCACCACTGTGAACTCCTCGTAAATTTTCCGACCCAGCTGCTCATCTGTGGTGTCTCTTGCAGTGTCACATGGCCAGAATAATGGAGCGGATCTGCGAGTTGCTACAGGTGGAAATTGATGGAAATCTCCAACAATAATGACATGAACTCCTCCGAACGCCTGGTCACTATGACTGCTGCCAGATGCAGACTTTGCAACTGAGAGTATGCGTGACAACTTCGCAAGAAAAGCACGACCGACCATTGAAACCTCATCAATGATAAGATATAGCTTGTCCGCCCAGAATGCTGTAAGCTTCCTCTTTACGCGAGCCAACTGGTTTTGATTTCCATTGACCGGTATGCAGGCAACGACATGCAATGTTTTCCCCCTGATAAGAGATGCTGCGATACCTGTGTATGCAGCCTTCACCAGACAACCTCTGGCTCCGTGAGCAACAAAGTTCTCTGTGATGGTTTGAATAGTCTTTGATTTGCCTATGCCTCCCTCACCAGGTATCATCATTAGTAGCTGCGGTGGATGCTGGCCAGCGAGAGTTGCCCTCATATGCCAATCAATGATGTCGAAGGCTCATCGCTGATCACGATGCAGGCAAGAGGGGTCTACAGGCGTAATGGAGTCTTGGAGAGATGATGCCGCATGCAAATCGGCTAGTGCTTCAATGCTCCCCATGCCATCTACATCACTATCATTTGTGTTGTGTGTCGAGTCCATCATCGTCACATCGCCATCGTTATCCACTTGTTCATCCAACCTGTCTCTGTCGTAACTGTGGTTTGCACTGTCGGCTGCCAGCTGCTGTCGCCAATGTTCGAGTTGTGCAAGATCATCTCCAGCAGCTATGCCAATACGGTGAGTTTGAGACACTGGCCACTCATTGTTATGCACAGCACTAAACACATTCTTTAGTTGTCCGATGTTGACGGCTGCCATGCCATGCCGTTCCTCACGAGCAGAGACTTGAGACCTCTTGTACTCCTCGAGATCCTCCTCTGTCAAGCACACAACCTCGTCAATGGATTCTTGTGGAAATATTTCGGAGTCTGATCCAAGTTCATTGGTAGACATGGATGAGTTGTGACATTGTTGTTGTGATCCTGGAACAACTTGGCCTCTTCTGTTCCTCTCTATCGATTGTCGTTCGGCAGCTGTCTTGCACTCATAATAATACTGAGCACCAGCGATGACATCTCGTTCCCACACGCTGGAAGTCGTTATGAAGGCTGAGAATGCTTCCTTCCATGTTTCTTGCTCGTTTTTCAGCTGAGCCAACTGTCGCCAAGGTTTCAACAAGGAGAGCATCGATGCACAGTAGTATTCATGGATATCTTCATCATCACTTCGAGGAAACCAGGCCCCCACTATATTGGGGAGAGTATTATGCCCTTCACAGTGTGTAACTCGCCTGTGCGTTGAATGTTTTGGATGGTCAGATAGGTAGTAGGAGCGAGGATTCCGTGGTCTCCCTCTAGGAGCTGCAAGAGTCAACTCTGATGTGGACGAAATTGCTTGCTGCTTTGGCGCACTGATTCTTTCCTCATACGTGTTGATCAGGAATGCCAGGATTGACACATCTTCTAATTCCTCTCCTCTCAGCTGGTAGTCGAGTATCTGTGAATGTGTGGACAGCTTGCCATCGGAGTCCATTGTGAGGGTGATATTTTCATTGCCCATGATAAAGATAAAGGTGGAACGATACACAGATAAGAGAAATGGAAACATACGCACTAGAGAACTTGGTGGACAGTGGATTGATGCTTCTGGAAGGCTGGCGCTATAGGGCGACCAAGCGCGGGAAAGCGCGCGCGTATACATCGTAAAGCGCGGGAATGGTGCGCGCATGGCGCGCGTTGCGCGGGATAGCTGCGCCTCATATAGGGATAGCTGCAGATAGCACACAGAATGGTGCTGCAAGTTCGTGCAATGAACTCCCTAGTGAAAAGTGCCATATCACACCATGAGAGGCATGAGTCTCTACAATGAATTCATCAATCTGCCATGCGCCATGAGTAAATATCAGCCTATCAAGGCCACATAGTAGTAGGTGATGCAACAGGACCATTCACCTTTTATATTCGGCATCTGTGCCCTCTGTGATTCCCTTAGAAGCCTCCATGAGAGTCACCTGCAGTTTAGCAAACTCAGAAGCATCCATTGATCTATTCGCCGTCATTGTTGGGGCACTTTGTTCAGGGTCGATTAGGGTTTCTTGTTCTGCTGCCACATCCTCTTCAATATTGGCATCCATCTCGAGGTCAGTGGTAAGTGGAAGCATGCTATGCAAACCAGCGAAGTGCTGCATGGGGTCAATCACTGTAGAGGTCATGGGTGAATATTTGAATGGTCAATAGAGAGTTTGCGGACTCCAATTGCTGTGCTGCATGTGTGGTGGTAGTGACAAGCTTTCGGTGCCGAAACTTGTATTATTGGCTGCCATATCCTAAACTTCGTATGCACAAGATAAATGTACAGTTCCTATCCATGGCACTTCATGCTAGACCTTTCCAGTTAACTCAGTGTACCTTTTCGCAATAGCAGACACCTTCGTCATAACATGCTCTTGTCCTCCCCTCTGGTAGGTAAAATGAGCGTTGAAGGTGGCACCAAACTCTCTGCGCGCCTGTTATGCAATGCGGGAGTCAATTGACATGCGCATGTCACGCAGCTTCTGGACAATGGTGGTATACTTCATGCGCTCTCCTTTGGCACTGAAGGTAGCCCAGAACTGCTCAGGGCTGTCTTGATGGTAACACTTGACAATGACCTGGGCACCAAGAGAATAGAAAGGTCAGTCAAACGTAGTCAAACATCCCAAGGCCACACTCACCCGCCAATCATTCCATTTATTCTTTGTGCTCTGCCACTGCTGCTCTTTGCCATAGCGATATAGTAACGGCCAGTATTCAACTGTGATTGGGTGACCACGGATGACAATGACAGACAGACCTTTCCAGTGCTCAGTATGGTCATCCTACATGCTGTTGAGGCGCGGGATATCATGCACAAAACTGATGGCAGGGGGATCAGGAATCTCGCTGGCATCCACTTGCAAGACGGTGCCATCTCCAAGCTGGAGTAGCCGTGGCTTCCCTGTCGAGGATTCTCTTGGTGCCCCACATTCCGATGCAACGATCTCGGCACTAGAGTGAGTGATGCCTTTGGCACTGGAGTGAGTGGTTCCTTCGGCACCAGAGTGAGTGATGCGCTCGGCATCTAGTATAGGTGGGGACTGAGCAGTGCCAGGCTCATGGAGGGCATCTTGAACAAGGCTGACAATCTTTGCGCTCACATTTTGGATGATGGCATCCTGCAACTGTTACACGTTAGCTCATGGCAGGAGAGATAGTGGTGAGGAAGCGCACCTCGTCAATGTATGGAACAGACAGTGCACTTGTATTGGTGGTCAGAAGAGTATGACTGGACTCGGCGCCAGCAACTGGAGGCACGAGATCCATTGGCTGGTACGGATACTCTCTGGCGATCATCTCAGTCTGCCAAGCCAGGAGTCAGCCATTTCAATGCAACAGGATCAATGAAGGAGGAAGGAAAGGAAGAGCGGCTTACCCACGGCAACAGTGCTGCAACTTTGGTTGAGGTGTGTGTGTCCTTGGATCTGTCAGCGACAGCTGTGGCAGCAGTGGTGCTGACCAGCTGCGCACAGCGTTGTGTAGACTGCTTGGTACGGCCTGTCCTGGCCATGTCTGTAGGCCTACTTGCTCGAGGACCCTTGTGGGACTTGCAGGCACCTGGACGGAGCCTCAAGCAAGAAGTCAGCTCCCAGTCACTGCCACCCTAGCGGAGAGATCTGCGCACCTGTCCCATGAATCAGGTTCACGACTGAACTCCTCCAGCTGTTCAATCAGCATGGTCTTGTTGCCCGTCTGGTGGAGGTCAAACTCATTACAGTGCTGCCTCAGCACTTTCACTGTCATATTGTAGCTACAGTACCAATATCAGCATCGTCACAGGAAAGTGAGCGAAGCAGACAAAATAACTTACATGTAGAGACGTTGAACCAAGGGTTCTCCTTCCCGCCTGAATCGCCGTGGGAAGGGAAGCGATTGCTCATGAGAGGAGGTTGATTCCAGTGCGCTATTCTGAGGGCTTCCCAGAGTGGTGTTGCTAGTCGTTCGGTCGTGCATGCCAACACCAGGGCTCCAGAATGCCTCATTGTCATCCGAGCTGGGATGTGATCCAGTAGTACTGACCACATCCATGTTCAAGAAGCTCGGAATGTTGTTGTTGTTGATGCTGCTTTCGTCGTCCTCAACGATGCAGGACAGGCCTGGCAGGCGGCGGAGAAATTTCCTCCACAACGGATATGTTCCTATGAGAACGATGAATGCTGAGACGCCCAATATGACGGCAAGAGAGCCGGCCTCGTTGAGTTTGTCCGGTGGTGCTAGAGCATCAGGGGTAGCGGTTGGGTCTGCTGCAGCCGAGCTGGAACTGTTTGAGAGCTGGGTGACGAGTGAGCTGAAAGGGTTGGCTGGCAGTGAGTGCTGGGAGGGTGCGCCAACGATAGCAGAGGCAAGCACACGCGCCACATGCTCAGCATTAGGCAGTGGGATCTGGGGGATGGGCAAGTCAGCAATGCGAATGCCATAGTAAAGCACAAGTGAGTGACAGGACAAGGACTGTCGTCGCTTAGGTCAGCGTGCCTTGGACGGCGTTTGCCGAAGCGTCACGCCCACCAGCGGACGGTGTTGTTTGCGAGAGAAGTGGCATCACGGACCGTGGGACAAATTATTCAAATGAAGGTCCCTCAATACTCTCAGTGACCACAATTCGACTGCGTTGCACTCCAGCTCTGGCGCACGGTTAACGTAGCTCACGATCGTTACCCACGACGCCTTGGCAATGGCTGAAAACATCTACAGCAAGGGAACGAGAGTCTGGTTCGAGGACAAGGATCAGGCATGGATTTCTGCAGAGGTCACGGCTGTTACCAAAGGCGCTGACGATTCGATAAAACTGGCGTTTGTCGATGAACGAGGCAAGGTACGCGTTATATTTCTCACTGTTCAATTTACAGAATTCGCCGACATGAGTTGCAATGTGAATGACAGGAATTTGTCATTAATACCACTGGCAAGGACATCAAGGCTGGAAAGGAAGGCTTGCCTCCTCTTCGAAATCCTCCCTTACTAGAAACAGCAGATGATTTGGCTACCCTATCGCATCTAAATGAGCCTTCAGGTATATTCTTCTATGGTGAACGTCGGAATCAGTGCTGAGTGCTATTCAAGTCCTGCATACCATCCGCAATCGCTATGCCCAACATAGCATCTACACCTATAGCGGAATAGTGCTTATTGCCGTCAATCCTTTTCAACGAGTTACTCTATATGGCCCCGAGATTATTCAGGCTTACAGTGGACGGAAAAGAGGAGATCTTGAGCCTCATTTGTTTGCTATTGCTGAGGATGCATATACCGCGATGGCGAAGGAGGGCATGGGCCAGACTATCATTGTGTCGGGTGAAAGGTAATCTCCATGCCTCTGTAGCTTTATTGTAATACTGATTTAACTCTGTCGTCGTTCAGTGGAGCTGGTAAAACTGAATCAGTGTGTGCAGTGCTTCTCCCTATTATTGGAACTCTAACCTGTTTTCAGGCTAAATTCATCATGCGATACCTGGCATCAGTAAATCCTCCTGAATCCCAAACGAAAGCGAAGACAAAATTTTCTCTCGACGAATCCAGTGAAATTGAGCGCCAGATACTCGCCACAAACCCGATTTTAGAATCGTTTGGAAATGCCAAAACAACTCGTAACGACAATTCTTCGCGATTTGGTAAATACATTCAGGCGAGTAATTCGGATTTAGGCCGCTGAATATCTAACATGCGCTGTAGATTCTTTTTGATGGCAAACAAGAAATTGTCGGCGCCCGAATCCGGACTTACCTGTTGGAACGATCACGCATTGTGTTTCAACCAACGACCGAACGGAATTACCATATCTTTTATCAACTGTGTGCTGGCGCACCGTCGAAAGAACGAAAGGATCTCGGCCTTGACCCTGACGTGACTAAATTTCACTATCTGAAACAAGGAGGACCGACGTCGACACCGATAAGTGGAGTTGATGACGCGGAAGAGTTCCGGGCGACGCAGCAAGCATTATCGACAGTTGGAATCAGTGTAGAGAAACAGTGGGCGGTCTTCCGGCTTCTCTCAGCCCTGCTCCATCTGGGCAACGTGAAGGTTACCCAAACACGAAACGATTCGGCCATAGATGATGCAGATCCTGCCCTTCTTCTTGCTACTCGCTTCTTGGGAGTGAACTTCGCCGATTTCAAGAAGTGGACTGTCAAGAAGCAGATCGTTACGCGCTCGGAAAAAATCGTCACTGCACTCAACGCTGCACAGGCGACAGTGGTTAGGGATAGCGTGGCGAAGTTTGTTTATGCATGCTTATTTGAGTGGTTGGTAGCCATCGTCAATGAAAGTTTGGCCGGTGAAAACGGAGATGCCGCCGAGCGAGCTGAGATGTTCATCGGCGTGCTGGACATTTACGGCTTTGAACACTTTCAGAAGGTTACATCCCGTCCTTCGGTTAATTCATGACACTCACTTGTTTACAGAACTCCTTCGAGCAGTTTAGCATCAACTACGCTAATGAAAAATTACAGCAAGAGGTGAGTGTAAAGTATCCGCAACGTGTTCATGGCTTAAGATATCACTGTCGTAGTTCAATTCTCACGTCTTCAAACTCGAGCAAGAGGAGTACGTTAAGGAGGAGATTAACTGGACTTTTATCGACTTTTCAGACAATCAACCTTGCATTGATGTGATCGAAGGGAAACTGGGCGTCCTCGCGCTCCTTGATGAAGAGTCGCGTTTACCGTCAGGCAGTGACGCATCTTTTCTTCAAAAGCTGAGCAGCCAACTTCTGAAACCTTCCAACAAAGACGTCTTCAAGAAACCTCGGTTTGGAAATTCTGCGTTCACTATTGCCCACTATGCCCATGATGTCACGTACGAAGTTGAAGGATTCCTCGAGAAGAACCGCGATACAGTTCCTGATGAACATATGCTTTTGCTTGCATCCACGAAGAACCCCTTCTTGAAGGAAGTTCTCGACGCTGCCCTTGGATCTGTGAAAGCAGCCGAACCTCCACACCCTGGGTCACCCTCTCTATCTGATTCCGGCAGTGGAGGTTCCCGTCGTTCATCCATCATTCCTGATCCTGGTCGTTCATCATTGGTCGCAGCGAACGCTGGCCCCAAGAGACCAGGAGCTGCCATCCGGAAGCCCACGCAAGGCTCTATCTTCAAAGCCTCCTTGATCACCTTGATGGATACCCTCAGCATCACAAACGTCCACTATATACGGTGCATCAAACCCAATGAAGCCAAAAGACCTTGGGAGTTCACACCATCTCAAGTTTTAGGCCAGTTGCGTGCTTGTGGTGTTCTCGAAACCATACGTATCTCTTGTGCTGGATACCCTTCACGTTGGACTTATGAAGAGTTTGCTGAGCGGTACGGCCACTACTGTAGCTCTCCGCGTTATTAATTGTTGATCATTACACAGGTATTACATGCTAGTACCCTCAGCGGATTGGCAGCCAATGATACAGCACATGGAACTCAGGCCTCTCTGCTCACTTATTCTTGAGAGAACTATCAACGACCCTGACAAATATCAGAGTGGTCTCACAAAGATTTTTTTCAGGGCTGGTATGCTCGCAGCATTGGAGTCCCTCCGCTCGGAAAAGCTCAATGCTCTTGTCACGATTGTGCAAAAGAACATGCGCAGGCGCATGGCTGTGAAGAAGTACCAGGACTTGCGCCGAGCTACAATCAAAATCCAAACTTGGTGGCGTGGTATATTGGCCCGCAGGCTCGTGGAGAACATTCGTAGGGATTTTGCCGCAAGACGCCTTCAAACCGGTATTCGCCGTTTCATTCAGAGGTCCAATTTCCTGCAAACAAGGCAATCTATCGTCTTATTCCAGAGCCGTAGGTTTTTTTTTATGAATTCGTACAGTAGCATATTGAAACTCTCGCCACAGGTATCCGCGGTGCCCAAGCCCGACGGCTGTACAGAGAGAGAAAGACTTCACATGCTGCTATTCTCTTGCAATCTCTTTTCCGTGGAGTGTACGTCCGTAATAGTCAACTGATAATATCTTACCAAAATTTCCCCCTAGGCTCTATCGTCGCAGTCACAAGACAGACGTCAGGCATGTTGTTTATTTGCAATCTTGTGTCCGTCGGCGGCTTGCTCGGAAACAACTGAAGGCTCTCAGAGCTGAGGCCCGTTCAGTCTCAAAGTTCAAGGAGATATCGTATCGGTTAGAAAACAAGGTAGTAGAGCTCACTCAAACACTTCAGACACGCACGGAGGAGAAGAAGGTACTGCAGGCGCAGCTTTGCGAGTTGGAGAAACAGATTCAGCAATGGACATCGAAATACGAAGAGGCCGACACAAAAGCGAAGTCCTTTCAGACTGCACTGTCAACAGCCGAGGCTGAACTATCACGCCGTGATGAGCTTCTTTTAGCAAAGGCTGATGTAGAGAAGCGATTGGATGAGGCTGTTGCCAAAGCCGCGGAGAAGGAAGCAATGATACAAAAGCTATCAGACGAGCTCGTTGCACAGGCAGAGAAGCTGCAATTCCAGGAGAAGGCATTTGCCCATACCCCGTCACGTTCTGTCGAGGATGGGTCCGTCATACTGACTCTCAAGAATGAAGTTAGTAGCCTGCGGGAGCAACTAAACCGGGCCAATGCCTACAACGCCCTCACGAGGAATGCTCGAGTCGAAGCTCCTGTATCACCCACCTTTGCTCCAGCGTTGCGTATGCCTGATTCTGGTGGTCTCTCCAACGGCACAGCTCTTGTCCCGCCCTCGAGCAGTCGTCACCAACGAAGGCACAGTTCAGCAGGCGTTGTTCAACTCAGCCCAGCCGAAACCCGCACGTCCGTTGATGAACTCATGCTCGACGTCAAGAAGAATCAAGCTCTCAGCCATCGCGCAGTATCTGTCGCATACAATGGCGAAGATAATGTCCTTCGCATGCGCAACAACGGCCTGGCAGATGTTCGCTCGTATGACGACCTTGCTGAGGAGAAGATCAAACTCATGCAGGACACCAAGCGACTGGATGAGGATGTTCTTGTTGGTCTCATCAGAGGCCTGAAGATTCCAGCACCAAGTCTCACTAATCCGTCTGCTGTGAAGGAGATCCTTTTCCCGGCGAATCTTATCAGCCTTGTTACCAATGAGATGTGGAAATATGGGTTGATATCGGAGAGCGAGCGTTTTTTGGCAAACATTATGGAGTCCATTCAAGCCCATGTGATGGTAAGATCGTTGTCTATCATCGGGTGATTTCATTCACTAATATGTTGGATCTTAAAGTCGTTCAGCGGTGAAGATTCCATTATACCCGGAATTTACTGGCTTTCGAATGTCCACGAGATGCTGTCATTCATCTATGTGGCTGAGAGCGACATGCTACAGGGCATTGGCCCTGGAGAAGAGAATGCTGTCCGAGAGTTTGACTGGAATGATTACGAACGGCTTGTCACGGTCGTCAAGCATGACCTTGGCAGCTTGGAATATAACATATACCACACGTGGATGCTAGAGACCAAGAAGCGCCTTGCGAAGATGGTCGTACCTGCTTTAATAGAGAGTCAGTCTCTGCCGGGATTCACGACGAGCGATGGCGGTGGTCGGTTGTTTAATCGTCTCCTCAATACTAACAGCCAGCCAGCATACAGCATGGACGACATCCTAAACCTTCTGAACATGGTCTGGAAGAGTCTGAAGAGCTATTACATGGAAGATTCAGTGGTGCAACAGGTCATGGCTGAACTTCTCAAGCTGATCGGCGTCACGAGCTTTAATGACCTTTTAATGAGAAGGAACTTCTCCTCTTGGAAACGAGGTGTGTCCCTATCCATCGCACGGCGTCGTTTCATTGACATAAAGTTACTCAAGCCATGCAAATCCAGTATAATATCACACGCATAGAAGAGTGGTGTAAGTCTCATGACATGCCCGAGGGGACGCTCCAGTTGGAACATTTGATGCAGGCCATTAAGCTTCTGCAACTGAAGAAGGTGCGTGCTACTTTTACATCCGAACAACCGTTAATTGACGCCTGTGGGATAGGCAACACCCGCAGATATAGAGATCATATATGATGTCTGCTGGATGCTTAGTCCGATGCAAATACAGCGAATGTGTACGAACTACTACGTAGCAGAATATGAGGTATGACACACGCATTCCGCATTCATTTTCTTCGCTGATTTCTCTAGAACCCCATTTCTCCTGAGATTCTACGTGTAGTAGCCTCACGCGTTCAGGCAAATGATCGGAACGACCATTTACTATTGTCTCCCGAGTCGGAAGAAGTCGGTCCATTCGAGCCTCCCTGGCCTCGCGAGGTGTCTGGCTTGGAGACATACGTTCCAGCATATCTCAATGTGTCTCATCTACGCAGATTAGCTGCATTAGTAGCTTGATGTTTCGCCTGCGTTTGACCCCCAATGTTCCTATAATACTATACCTTACGCTGCCAACTTTCGTGCTTTAGCTACTTCAGGACCTCTGTTAAGTCAGTTTATGTATATGGCATCCCCGACTCCTGACATTATAGTGGAGGAGGGTTTTCAGTATCACTGCCTTTTGGAATAATAGTTAAGCGGACGACAGTCTTTGACTGACTAAGTTACATCGATGGACACAAAATATGCCAGGAATAAGTAAGTCGGGTGCCGCCAACGCCATTACGATTCAATAGGCTTGTGGTCCATGAATAAATCTGGCGTGACCTTCAAATTGGGGTGAAAGTATTATGACAGACATTGATCAATCACTTCGACTATGAGGAAGAGCCGACAACACGACTGTGCATGTGTCCTCCACTTGCTCAGACAACAACAGATCATTCTGGAGGGGTGAGCAACTTAAAGGATCTGAGCCTGATGTCTTTATGAGGCACAGTGGCTAACAGAATGATGAGGTTTTCGAGATCTGGTTCTTGGGCAAATTTCACTAACTGTTTGATACGAGGGAGGAACTCCAAGATTCGCCGAAATCAGGTCCAATGCCCTGCCTGCAGTGACCACAGACTACAAGCCAAAAGTGAGATAATCCACATAGCCTATCAACAAGATAGATGCTACCTTTCTGAACCAAAGTACGCGTTCTTGCACGGGCCTTCCAGTCACCTCCAATCGAGCTTTGATGTGCAAGCGTTCATTGACAGGTACGGTGGATGATTTGTCCCTAGGGTCCCCCGCAGAAGCACTATGACGCATCTTCATGAGTGTAACTTTCTGTATCTGGGCTAATTTCTTGGGGTCTGTGGGAGGCTTGACTGTGCGTCGGACAGCCATGGGAGTATGTGAAGGTGGGTTGGAAAAATGGCGGGCGAGGATATCTTGAGCATCCTTCTTTTCATCGGACTCCTGCTTCTGCAGACCTGTACATGAATGCAAATCTGGATGGCGATGACTGACCAGTTTGAGCTCCTTGTATAAAACGATTCCAGAAAACATACTCGATACAAAATGACAGAAGGCATTTCGTGCATGCCGCAGATGAAGTTGGTTTCGTTTCGAGATTGACCTCTTGACTGATAACACTTTCAAGGCTCGGTTTCTTGCAATCTCCAAGAGCACATCTCCGGTGTTTCACGATGGGAGCGCGTTCCTCGGAAGGCCCACTGGCATCTAGTGACGCACAAGTGTGCTTATCAAGGGGGATGTGATACCTACAAAACACCTTGTTACAGTGACATTTGATTGGTAGGAAATCGACCTCATTGCAGGACGTTAGGTCGCAACGCAGACCGACTGCATCAGGCTCCATAGGATATCAATTATATCGAATGATCACTATGCAGTGTCACACAGTGTAGTACTACTGAGTGTAACGTAAAAGTATTACGTAATTAAATTGATACATCTAACGTCAAGCAAGAGTAGCAGGCGCCCAGCTGCAGCAATCCTGTGACTTCTTCACCACCACCCGGACACAAATTGTCATGAACATCATAGTGCGGTCTCCATCCCAATTGTCGCTTAGTATCTGCTAATATTCACAAAGGAAACTCTGTTTGGAAAGACAGTTACGCCTGCTGAGCGATTGCGACAGCATCAGCGTGCATTGAACAAAGCACAACGAGAGCTTGACCGTGAACGGTCAAAGCTTGAGCAAAGCGAAAAGAAGCTTGTGGCAGACATCAAGAAAAGTGCCAAAGCTGGCCAAATGGTACCTTTCTTTCCCTCGTCGTGCATCAATTTCAATGTTCTCAGTAGAATGCGTGTAAAGTGATGGCGAAGGACCTCGTTCGCACCCGGCGTTATGTCCAAAAGTTTTACCAAATGAGGACACAACTACAAGCCGTTGGACTGAGGATACAGACTCTAAGAAGTAATCAACAAATGGCAGATGCCATGCGCGGAGCCACGAGGGTACGTTGCAATTCTTCACTTGTTCAACCCTGCATCCTCATTGACGCCTTTTCCAGGCCATGGCTTCCATGAACAGGGGATTGAACCTCCCAGCTATCCAGAAGATCATGAATGAGTTTGAAAAGGAAAGCTCGATGATGGATATGAAGGAAGAAATGATGTCGGACGCTGTGGATGATGTTATGGAGGATGATGCTGAAGATGAAGAGGAAGAAGGTGATAAGATATTACGAGAGGTTCTTGACGAAATAGGTGTCAATCTTTCTCAGCAGGTGACTATGATGCCATCCCTATCTCATATATATTCATCCACTTTCGTTTGCAGCTCACGGATGCACCTACTGGTCTCGGTTCAATATCATCACCACTGACAGAACGCAGACCGGTGGCATTGGGGGAATCGATTGGTGGAAGTGGCTCTCCCAAAGGCGATGACACAGCAGGGGGTGGCCCGTCAGATGAAGATAGCCTCCAAGCAAGATTAGACGCTTTAAGACGAGGGTGAACTCCAACTCATACATCCCGCCCTTCACTTTCACACATTCTCATCGACTGCCTAGCTATCTCATCACGGAATATATATCTGTTTTTCCTCGCGTGAATTTATACCTTCAATGCCACGACATTTTTTGCATCCTGTAAACTGAAAGACCAGGATATGCCTGATCCACTGTAGAACCCATCCACGTCTTCTTCCTAAAGAGCAGGTTGATGACCGAAATGACATTCGATTCGGAATTTACTCACATTGTCCAGGTTCAGTAACGAACTGATCTGCTGCAAGCGCACAAACTTTTCCCGGATGTCTCCAAAGATCGTTTGGGACGAGAGATATGCCATTATTGATCGAAGGTCACGGTCGAAACGCACGGCACCCAGCTGTACTAACGTTACCTTCAAGATGATCACGGAGAAGTATAACGCCTACCTCAGAGAAATGCAGCGTCAAGATATACTTCTCCCAGGGTCGGGCGATAACATCGAGTGCAAGCCCAAACAACATGCGATAGTTATTGTCCGTGAACGCATCCTGTACAAATATAAATATATGCACTAGATGTTGTGGCGGAAAGCTGACCTTGTAGCCATCGACCAATCCCTCCCACGTTTTAACAAACCGCTTCCGAACCACGTCATATTGTTCTGCGGCGTTATAAGAGTCTTCGTCGAGTACATATGATACGTCTTTAAACACGTCTGGAATTAAAGTGCGCAACTTGGGTCTCATTAGCTGGTTAAAAAGCTGCTCCACGCCTGCCTGAAATCTAGTTCAGCGAAGCGATCCTCGGTGAGAATAAGCAAGTACATACTTTCAGCGTCGAACGGAATTTAGCTACAGATCCTGTTAAACTGGAAATTACCCTTTTCACGTGTGATTGTTCTGCATCCAGAAAAAGTTGAGTGATGTTTTGGTGACCAAGAAGATCCTTCGTCAATCGCTCCATGTGCGAAGAAGATAGATCAAGGTCATTGAGGAGAATCTTGTACACAATATGTCAGCGTAAAATCGTAGTTGACGGGAAGGTACCTACGATGAACGATGTACGACACTCTCGCTCAGATTTCTCCCCACGTCCGCCACCGCCGGTGTTTGCCGCCGTTCGATAAACATCATCAAGTTTCCGCTTGATGCCGCCAGCATAATCATGATCCATAAAGTCCTTCAAGAGATCAGTCATTCGCTCAATATGCTTGAGTGAGCCCGCAGACAGAACTCGCGAGTAGACTGTCTTGAGAATGTAGAATACATCGTCTGGTGTTGTAGTAGTGACGGGCGATTGCGAAAAGTCAGGAGACGATAATCGGTGAGCCTCCAAAATAGTTCAGTTTAAGGTTCTGATGTGTGCGAGAACAAATACCTTGTCGATGATAGTACGCATATACCATGTCTCCATCGGAACATAATGAGTCGCGAGAAGTTCGTCGAACTCTTGATGAGAGCGACTAGATTCCACAAGTTGTAGTAGATCTGGTTGAATTCCAGAGCCCCAAGCATTCAGATTATTGTCGATCTGTGACTTATGTCCTTCATGATCGGGGCCTCGTGAAACAGGAGTGACCCGGCCGCTCTGAGCATCTTCCTCGACATCTTCATCCTTGGCGTTGTAAGCGCATGTGTTTTGCATGGATGAGGGTACTCACCTGCAGTTGCTCCACAAGAAACTTGCGGAACAGGAACCATCGACCACTCATACCTGCAATTTCAGATAAGAGTTTGTCGACCTCGCGAGGGTCCAATTCATCGTCATCTTGTGATGAAACCTGGGATGATTGCTTGCGGGTAGGTGCGATGGAGAAGGAAGAGTTGGCCACATCTAGAAGCTACTGGGCACTAGTCTCGAAATCATCATCCGATCATATGGATTAGGTACTTCACCTTTCTTTTTATTGACCTATCTTCTCTCCAGCTATCCAATGTAAGCCGCACAACACGGTCGCATTCATCGAGTAAGCGTTTGATGACGGTTGTCATCTTACCTGCCCCATAATATTTGTCAACGACCGGTTGGTGGTGGTCAACTATCATGGCAACACTTTCGAGTAGCGCTGTAAGTGCAGTCACAAAGTATAGAGGTGAAGAGGCTAAGTGAGATGTAAGAATGTGAAAGTTGTCCAAGCCTGATTATAGCGTACTTTTGGCTGACGTTGGAGCCCTCACTCGCACAAGATCGACCACGAACGATGCATAGGCCTCGAGGCCTTCTGCCTCCCAACCAATGGTAGGAAAGAGTTTGAAATAACGAGTCGTAGCTGCAGCATCTCGCGAGCGAGATGCTTCTTCGAAGTGACTCTTGAAAATGGATAAAAGTTGTTCTCGTGCAGCCTGCAGGGTCTGTGCTGGGGGCAAATGACTCTCAGCTGTAGGCTGTTCAGGTTGGTGAGAGGAGTCTGGAATGTTTCGGATGGTTACTCACAACAACAGACTCTGCAAAGGGTCCTGAAATGATTGTAAAGGACAAGGACATGGCGCGCGCACAACATCTGGCGGCCGACTCCCAGTCTTGGTTTTCGATGCAAGATTGTAATTGAGCAAGAGAGGACTGCATGACAGCATCGGCTGAATCTAAATGTGGACGGACGACATTTGAAGACATACTTTCAGTTCCATGACTTGTCCGACCCGCTCAGCAGCCTCTCCAACGCGTCTCATTTCCTCATCAAGCGAACGTACACGTCCACCCACGCGTTCTGCTGTCTGTGCAGTAGCTGAGACCTTGATTGAGAAGTTTGCTGCTTCAATCTGAAGGTCATCGAGACGCGGAACGAGAACCTCTAACTGCTGGAGTGACTTGTCAATAGATTGACGATTTGAGAGAAGTTGTGTCAGGGAGTTTGAGAGTTCCGTTTCAGCAGATTGATACCACGACAAGCATGATAGTATTTCATTTAGAGAAGTAAGAGTTCGTGGATCTTTTGGGGATTGGAAGTCGTCTGGTGCTGTATTGAGGATACTCTCAGACATTGGAGGTGACTGCTATTATGATCTAATACAATTGGATTATATTGGACTGGGCCCGATGCAGTCACTACGTATCATAACACTGACTGACTGACGCCGTGAACTGTTTCCTCCAATTCTTCCAGTATACTCGCAAGATGTCTCATGAAATTTCTGATGTGCTCACAAACGTCGCTCTCCCAAAAACTCAAGCGACCATAACTCTTCGAGTAATCAAATCCTTCGAATACCGCACGGAACGCAGTCTCGTCTTACACATGTTGAACCTGGAGATCACAACAGTTGGCGAGCTCAAGGATATGGCTCGGCGAGGTATGCCACTCTGTTTAGCATACCCCAACTTGTTCCATCCCTTCCTGCAGCTATTCAGACTAGTTCAGGATGGAAGCCGTATCGGAACGTGCATCTAGGTTAGCATCACGGCCTCTGCCCTTCATAGGAGAATGTTCAAATTTTCTGGCACAGATACACTCAAGTTGTACACCAAAGCTCACGGTGCTAAGGTATGGTCCCCGAATCGTACAATTCTGAGAATTGGCCTAAAACCCCCTGTCAGACAACCAATCTGATCATCAATATGGACCACGACGACTGGATTTTCGATGATGACGCCCGCACCCTAGCTGAACTTGGTATTGGTAAGTCCTTCTGTAAGGATACAGGTCGTCTGTTGAAAGTCACGCGCTAGAAAACGAGACAGAGATCAGCTTCTTTAATCGTGTAGCTTACAATGCCTTCAAGGAAAATCCCGAAGTACAATCTCCTCTCATCTTGATAAAGTCCTTCCTTCTTACTGCCGTCAAACTCAGATTCGATGGGACATTCCTCCGTAATGCGGAGAGCCAACCAAGAAGTGAAGAAGTGTTAATGAAATGAAAATGCGTATTAAATGTAACGAGTGTAACAAATGCGAGTCTCTAGCGCAACAGATATCATGCTAATCATGCTAATGGACATGCGCAAATCACTGATTTGCGCATTGAACACGCGGCTCTCCTTCATGATCCTCGTCCATCGACTCATCTGACATAGCATTTGCCTTTGACCGCGCGTCAGGCTCATCCAGATCCACCTCCTCGAGATGAATATTCTTAGGGAACTTCTCGATCTCTGTTCGTGGTGGTAGTGCCCTCTCAAGCAAAGAGATGACGGCTGGATCGATATGTTCGGGGAAATTCACAGTGAACTTCACAAACAAATCTCCTGGCTCATGATGTCGCTGAGAGGGCATTCCCTGGCCGCGTATGACCTTGACAGCATCTGCCACAAATATTAGCGTCATGTTTTACCACCGCGCTCTTCATAAATGCTTACCATTCTTGACAACCTCGCCAGGAACAAAGTTCACAATGAGGGCGCGATCGTCGAGGTGACGAATCCCAACTCGTCCACCGCCAAGGGCCGTCAGTAGATCGATCTCCAGTTCTGTTATGAGATTCGTGTCTTGACGTTTGAAGCGGTCGTGCGGTTTCTCTTCTATGACGATAACGACATCTCCTGAGTCGGCGTTTGGCGACTGATCACTTTCTCCGCTGAACACAATCGTCTGGCCGCCCTTCATGCCCTTGTCTATGTGCACTTCCAAAATCTTCTTCTCAGGCATGACTTTCTTGCCTTTGCATTGCTGGCAGCGATCCTTTATATTGATCATCTCTCCCGTACCCGAACATTCCTCGCAGGCGGACTGTATCTGCTGGATCATGGGGCCCATCTGGCGTAACGTGACCTTGATACCACGTCCATTGCATGAAGAACATGGTCGCACAGCACCCTCTTTCCCACCGCGACCGTGGCACTTAGAGCAAAGTGCGTTGCGAGTAAGAGCAAGTTTAGTTGTCTTGCCCTTATAGAGATCCTCGAGTGTCACGTTTACGCGATGTACAAGGTCCTTAGTCTTGCGGGCAGCCTGCTGGCGATTGCCGCCGCCGCCGCCAGCACCAAAGAATCCGCCGCCGCCAAACAATTGACTGAAAAGGTCCTAGGGGTTCAAGTCAGTCTGATGCCACCATCAATGTCGAGCAAAGCCTTACCTGGGGATCCATCCCACCCATTCCGCCCTGCTCGGAAAGACCAGCTTCACCTCGAGCATCATATATACCACGCTTTTGGGAGTCGGAAAGAATCTCGTATCTACAAAATGAGACAACAAAAATCTGTACATGTAATGTAAGACATACGCATGTGTAACTTCCTTGAAGAGTTCTGGGTCACCACCTTTGTCGGGGTGTAGTCTCAAGGCTCTGCGAAACGAATCAATATGACGTTCAGACTCGCCACGATTCTTATCTTACTTTTTCCTGTATGCCTTCTTCAATTCAGGCTCTGAAGCATCTACTGGGACTTCCAGGAGATCATAAAACTTCCTGCACTGAGTGTTAGCATACAAATTGGTTTGAATATCACTAGCCGCACGTTTCTTTGACCATGGCGGAGGAAGGATAATAAGACAGCGATGTGGTTGACACAGAAGTGGACGCTGTTCACTTTTCTAAGGATTCCACCCGCGCTCAAGAATCCTGTGGAACCTACCAGAATTTTCTCTAGCTGTGCCGGCTTCTCTCAAAATGGAAGCGGTCCTTTTTCGATCATTTTTCACTGCCACCTTGCCATCAGCTCACACAGCTTCGTAGACACAGCTCGATGAGTAGTACTAATCTGGACCCTCTAAAGTTCTTCTACTAGGGTTGTAGTCAAAGAATCACGAGTCATGCTTCAACGATCCCCCTTTTTCGAAAGATATTGTCGATTATCGAAAGACTACATAGCTACATTGTTGCCCTATGTTCTCCATACCTTATCAAGCGCTCACGTCGGGATAGACATCAAAGCGACGCTGTTTTGTGACTGGTATTCCAGCTCTTACCTCGTGGAATGGTTCAGGATCTAAATCCCGTGTGAAATCAGCAACTTGTAAATAACGAGCACGATGTCAAATTCACCGATATCGACATGCAGAATCGTCTCGTTCTCATCAGCCTCCGCAAGTACATGGCCACTGATAGTTGATTTAGTGCGATCAGTGTACATCAAAGGATATGCCTTACTATGGGTCAACGACCATCGAGTGCCCCCACTATCATGATAGTTCAAATCTCTTGGTTGCACAATTATTGTGGCGGTTCACTTACTGAATGGTACCCAGCGGTCATATCCCGTGCTGGACTGCACATGGAAAAGAAAACCTGGTTATCATTGGCCCTGAAGGCTACGTCAGGAACTATTGAGCACAGTTGGACAACGCGCTACCGAGCTCGTTGAAGCAGTTCCCAATGCAAAGGTCCAGTGGTGAGGTTAAATGCCCCAGGATAAACCATGGCATGACAACCTTAAGAGGTTGTGCGTTTTTCGTTTTTCGTATAAATCATGTAACCACGAACCTCGTCGTGCCGCAATCATCGCTAGTTCCGGGAACCTGACGTCGTAGCATAAACCGAGCCCAATACGTGCAAATTCTTAAGATACTTTTATCGAGTGTGGCGCAGGCACGTTGAATGAGGTTCGTACCAGTGTCAAAATAGTTCGCCGTCGTTCCTCCTGTCAACGTTTCGCTCTCCTGTAGGTACGATGAGATCCAGAAAAGACGCTAAAGCGAGAACTAGTAAAGGGTATACCTTGAATTTTATCTTCCCAGGGATATCGATGTCAAATAGGTGAACCTTGCGATGTGATGCAACAAGTGCACCTCCATCCACGTACATCAGTGTTAATTGGAAAAAGTTTCAGGGAACTTGACACCTGTCGGAGAATACACAGTGCAGGTGTTGTAGATGTTGTTCGTCTCCACATCTCTCTCGGGTATCGAACCTGTTAAACAAAATATGAACTTTCTATCCCTTTGCCACACGTTTGAGCGAGGTATGACCTCCGATGAGCCAGATTCCCGCCTCCTTCGCAGCAGAAGACAGCATCTTCACACTTTCGCTTACACTCGCTTGAATATCATACTCCTTGCCAGCAGTGTAGCTAATGCTCTCGGCATACGCGGGGAAGTGAACAAAGCCGTACGGTGAGTTGAAACATTCCTGAAAAATGAGTCAGAGCTAGGTGAAATAAGATTAATTCCATACCGGCAATACAACAACTTGAGGCCTCTTGTCTGAATTGCTCTTTGCTGCCTTCATGATCATCTCGCGAGCATGGTGAAGATTGGCTGCCTTGTCAGAGCCGATAGAACCAAGTTGGATAAGCGTGAGGGTGAATGGCTTGAAGACAGGAGGAGCGACTGAAGTCATTGTGCGGCAGGCAGAATGCTTGAGATTGTGGGATAATGGCAGCAGTGCTCCGGATAAACGCAACATATACAGCTAATTAAGTCTGCCCAAGTTGTCGCTGGCTTCCAAGTATCTTATATCAATCACTACCGGGCCGAGGCCCGGTGTACCGTAAGACGGTCTTATCAGGGTCGTTACTAACTCGTTAGAGTCAGAAAGCCAGACAGACCACTCCAATATCAATTATAACATCTTCAGGTTTGTGAGCTAAAATCCAGCTTGTGACCGGCATTAAAAGGAATTCGTTATTGACTACATATTTATCAGACTATCATGGCGAGTTGTCCACCAGTGCTAGTGATGTATAATCCCGTCTGTGGAGATGGCACTGCCGAGACCTTTTTCGATGAGCATGTCTTTCCTCGTCTCGAGGAAGCACATATCCAAGTTACCCAAAAGATGGCAACTGGAGCCGCTGGACATGCGGGTACCATAGCGTTCGACTTTCTCGAACGATATGAGGGCAACGTGACAGTCATATTGGGCTCCGGCGATGGAACGTTGCACGAAATCATCAACGCCCTCTCACTCGTGGCACTGAATGGTGTACGCAAGAATGTTGTATCATCCTCAGTTCGTGTAGTTCTTGTCCCATGTGGGACGGCAAACGCTCTCTACTGCTCATTGTTCAAGCCAATCTCCATGAATGAGGGCCCAGCATACAAGCTGAAGTCTCTTGAAGCATTCATCATGGGTTCGGATGTCGTTCCCCTCACACTGACTGTCACGACCCTATCTGCTCCACCGAGCTCAAAGCAAAGTTGTTCCAAGGTCGCTGTCTCAGCGGTAGTGACCTCTACTGCTTTGCACGCATCTATCCTCCATGATTCCGAGAGTCTGAGGAAAGAACTGCCAGGCATTGAAAGATTCAAAGTTGCTGCGAAGAACAACATTACACAATGGTACAGCAGCCATGTCAAGCTGTTGCCTGCGCCATCTGCTCAGGCTGTGGAGATATACGATCCAGACCAAAAGACTTTCGTAATTCACAAGGATTCAGATGCTCATGGAATTGTGGATGTGCATGGTCCATTCGCATACTTTCTTTCTACCGTCAATGTCGATCGTTTGGAACCTGCTTTTAGAATCACCCCTCTTGCGTCCGACTTTGTTTCGTCGGAGGTCTCACTAGACCTTGTCATGGTTCGACCTCACCGTGATCCCACCTTTGTCATGGATACCATAGAAGCTCGAAATGCCTTTGCAGAGAAATCAGTTGCTGTGCTGACTGCAGCATACCAAGATGGGAGCCACATCAACTTGAGATACACCGACGATGGAAAGATAACCAATGAAGGGACAGGTCCCACTGTGATAGAATATATCCGATGCAAAGGATGGGAATGGATACCTGTGAGTTTTCCCCGCCTGATCTTTATACGCCATCTGATAGTGAGTAGGATGAGGTCGATGAAAGGGCCCACCTTGTATGCTCAGATGGAGCCATATTCTCAATTGTGAAAGGCGGAAAGGCAGCATGCAGTGCAGCAGTACCAGCCGATGGTGCAGAATTTTCGGTATACGTTTAATGGGAAGCAAAGTTGTTACAATTTCAGGAGTAAAGAAAACAATACACTCCGGAGCGCGTCCCGCACGATTTCCTCAGTTTGTATGTATTGTACGGAAATTGGGTTGACGATCGTTGCGGTACGAATTCTCATCTTCACGTCCGCCGGTCACAGGTGCATCGCCCTCGGCCCTATTAAATTAGATTTAGGCATAGTGAAAGGAGCACACCACTCCAGTCTGATGGAAGCCGTAGTAAGCTTACCAAGGTCCATGCTCTTCGCGTAGAACACTGGGTCTGCTCCCGTCACCCTTGAGCTTGCGGTTCAAGGCAGCAAATGCATCAACAAGCTTGCTACGTGCACCTTCCCTTGCCCTTCGGATGCGGAACTTTGAATGAATGTACTTGCTAGCGGGAACCGGTACTTTGAAGGACACCCGGGGTCCTCGTCGCAGGCCCATAAGCAAGTGATTACGGCAAGACCAGCACCGTGACGGTCTAAAACTTCTGTTTCATACTACATTTCATTTCCAGCTGTACTGTAAACCTTTGGCAGAAAGCGGATCCTTTTGGATCCATTCACCGCACGTTCCGTGAGCATGGATAGCGGAGTAGTGAGAATCAATCATGGATCAGACGTCTTTGTTGTTCGCGCATGCTCTAATGACGATGGGGCGGACTTGTTGGCTATAGCAGGCGAGCATTCAGTGGAAGTTTTCCGTGTGGTGTGTGTGTTCCCAAGCCGTACGAGCTAGGCAGTTGATCACATCTTTTTCTCATTAAGAGCCCACCCATTAGTGAAAGGGTGGCGTCTTTTCATGTTGGGAGACGCATAACAGCTCTAGCGTGGTCGCCTCGATCCGTTTCACCTAGTTCAAGTGATGACTGGGTTATTGAGTAAGGCGGTCCTAGACTCCCTACTGTCCACAAAGCATGAAATTGACGCTGTCTCAGAATTACTGCTGCTGCTTCAGACTTCAGTCTTCACCTACTCACAAAATCTTCAACATCTTCCGAGAACACGTTCGCGTTTGGTGGGGGTCTCAGCGGACACCACGGCAAAGTCAATGATATGTGCTTTTGTGGAGGACGTGATCAAGACAATGCAAGATATGTCGCGACGGTGGCAGGTGCATCACTCGTTCAAATTGCGTAATGAGCATACTCTGAACATTGAAATATTGCGCCCAGATGACAAAATGCTGATGGTTTGGGATCTACATCCAGCACTGGATATTTCTTCTGGAATCCCTTCTCCAGAGAGGTCACTGGGTACCGACGCGTCGCCGTCGCCCCATCCCCGTCCTCAACCAACTTCATATGTGATTTCGTTTCCCCACCCCCTTGTTACTGTAAATTGCCACCAATCCAGCAGCAAAGAATTTCTCGTATCAGACTCCCGAGGTTCCGTCTTCTTGACGGACTGGAGGTCTGATCCAGAGCAAAGTGAGCAGGGGAGCTGGAGGCATTCCAGTGTTATTGAGCTCGTTGAACCACACGGGCTGTCCAAGTCATTGATGGGTATTTCATCACAGTGGACGGGATTTGCAGCTTGGCGTCAAGATAACATTGATATGTCGGTGCACAATTGATTCTGAGTTCGACTTACAGCTGACTTTATATGTTATTTAGCGTAGGGGCAACTTACGGCTCCCGCTTTTCCATATGGGATTTGTCCAAGTCCCAGGGTGGAAAACCTTTACAAACAGGTATAAGTTTTCCTGAAGGTGGTCACCAATTCCGGTACGCCTTTTGCTCTATTGTTTTTAACTATCGAGACCCTCACATCGGCCTACAAGATGGTGCCCGACGAGTCCGGATTATTTCGCTATTGCGTCCCAGTGCGCAACCAAAGGAGCGGTTATTCATATTCACGATATGAATTATGTCCATGCACAGCCTCATGTTATTAACATTGCTCCGCGCCCCCATCGCGTCCGGGATTTCGATTTTATGGCTAGGAGGGGTAATCCAGTGCTTGCGGTTGCATACGGTGTAGAAGTCGTTGTTTTCCCCATTGGTGTCGAGTGACATGTCTAGAGAACTAACCATGATGAAGTCATTCATAAACCAATACTACTGCTGTACTGAGGTGCTGCCAGAAAATTCCGTGTATGAAGAAAAGTGCAAGATAAGCAACGCTCCTATCAACTGGTTCCAAAACCATTTGGGCCGATAGGTGCTATGTGTACGTATGGATGGTGGGAATAAGAAGTAGATGTGTCTCCGTAGGCAATGTTGCGGAAACCGTCGTTGGCGGGTACGGTGTTACCGTTCTCTCCAAAACCAAGCTCGACTAACATACTGCGGTAGTAATGAAAGTCGGTTTCTGAGACATGCCCGAGGTTGTAACCTGAGAATTGACCTGAAGGGCCATACGAGCCAGAACCACGACCTAACGCATCAGTATAGTTCGGTCCTCCACAAGGTGCGTTTTGGCCATTCATATCAGAATTCTGCGTCGGATACGCAGAATATGACAGTAAGGAAGAGGATGATGGACATGCAAATTGCTCAGGTGGGCATGGAGCAGTCGGTGTATATGGACCTACGAATGAACAATGAACTGTCAACATATACATTGCATAGCGTGAAGACGATTTACTTTGAATGTTTGGGTCAATGGGGATGTCTTTTTGAGCGTTTTGTCGAGCCCGCTCTATATCATTGCGAACAAGACTCCACAGAAACCGAGCGTGGTAGGCAGCTGATGTTGAGGTGGGCGAAAGGTGAGAAGCTTCTTGATACGCATCGGCCGTTTTCGTGATCGCAGTATGAATCTGATGAGCTGCACCCTCTGGCAATTCTGATTGCAGGTCTGTGTGAGTATTAGAGCTCCGGAGTAGCTAAGGCCAACACATCAACTTTACTTAGATTTGGAGGCAGGGCACTTATTACCTTCAGCAGAAATATGGCAGAGTATGCAGTCATAACGGAGGTTGTCTCTTGCCCGTAGCGCTGGATAAAGTGTCAATGAGTAGGAATTGCACTACAGCAAGACTTACCAAAACACCAAATTCCCTAAAGTCTTTGGATGCGATTCCCAGCACATTTAATGCATTTTCAAAACACGCAGATAAGGCGCGAACATGACTATTCGTGCGGTTTGCCTGAGGGAGACAGTATAGGAATGATGCGTCAAAAACAAAATTGCGGACTTACAGGTGGGACACTGGATTGAACACCAAAACTATTCAAGAAAAGGCTCGAATAGAGGCAGAAGAGATTGGTAAAGGAAAAGTGGAAAGACTCTCCGTTAGCTATCAGCAAGATATGAGGTCATGCATCGGAATATGAGATGTCGTGTTCGTCACCTTTTCTCATCTCATGGTCCCAGGTACTGGTCCACAGTGCAAGCTTCGCGTTGCAGTTTTTCAGCACCATATCGATATTGACTTGACTGTTTCCACCGTCCGAAAGACTCCGATTGGTGTGGAACATGTCTGTAGCCTCGGTCTAATACCATTGGATTATGTCACGCAGGTGTTGAGAGAAAAGTCTCACCGCTATACGACGGAGCTGTGCGAAAGCAGAAACGATGACATCTTCGCATCGAATGGGGGTCCCACCCTGCTCATGCCAGGTGTCGGAGTGCCTTATGAAGTCATCCTGCAGCGTGTGTGAACCGTCATATCTTGAGAAAATGGAAAAGATTTACTTCAGGGAGCATCCAATGCCGACCTGTCTGCATGCTAAGACTCCGGTCATGTACGAAGAGGACGAGGTATGTCCTCTCTCGGTTTCGCCTTTCACGAAGCTGGAACTCGGTTTCGTGAGCAGGAGGTTTTGCATGATATCGGTTGAGGCCAAGTTCCACAGCCATCCGACACGCCTGAACAAAATCAGACAATAATTCGAGATTGATGAACCCTGAAGCACTCACATATCCAATATACATCCATGTCCGCTTCGATGAAATTAAGCTTAAGTAAGTTGAGACGAGCCCAAAACACACTCACGTTGTCCTCTTGTTCTCTCCAATAAGTGAGACACGAAAATGCTTGGATCACTTCTACTCGTTTCCAACCTTCTGCGAATGCCCGGACCGCAAGATCGTTAGCAAGCCTCAGGCATTCCTTGTATAAGCTTGGTTCGAAGAATTTGCAGCCAGCCATTATCAAGGTAGTAAATAACAAAGGGCATTTAGACCGCACATAGGCAACAGAATGCAGAGCTGGATCGAAAAGATTTATAAATGGATTCAGTCGAAGGAAGATTGCATCGAAGAGGATCTTTGCTTTGTTTTCGTTGATTAAGCCGGCTGTGATTGGATCGTTATAGCCGATCGGGAGAGGCGCCGGGCGCAATGACTGGGGGAGGTAAGGATTTCGAGGCACATGAAGCATTGGCGACTTGTGTTCTGGGTTGAGGATAGTCCTGAAAAAGGAGTTTTCCCTTCTGATTAATTTGGCAGGAAATTTCTCGTCACTCCTTTCCCCGTCCTCTTCCTCCTCTGGATCAACAGTACGTGAACTGACGCTTGAAGCCGCATATCCGTCTATGATAATATGTTTTGAGTCACAGTTTGTACTCTTGGCACGAAATAAATTACCAGCGGAACCATAAGCGTCAGAGGACTGGAGTCCGCCAAACTGAGTATTATCTGCTTGAGGAGTACGAGGGTCGGCAGGGAATACTGTCGACAATGATGAATCACTTTGCTTGAGTTTCGCTGTGTTCAATCCTTTCTCTAAGCGTCGGAGCATTTTAGACGCTTCGGATAGCCTTGGGACATTGTGAGAGGCGATAGGCAAAGCAAGAGAAGTAATCTGACTTTGATCCAGGTTTTCGCCCTCTGCGATGCTTCTCAAAGACACATCTTATAGAAAAAGGGTTAACGTCTTGGCAGACTATCGGAGCAATTCATTACTTACTCCACACCTGTTCTTGTACACCTTTGACAAGACTTGAGACCGTCCTCTGCCCCGACGCATTTCATCTATCAGGGATTCAGATGTGAATTCTTTCTCTTGATCTGTCGACCACTCACCTTCGCTGCCCGACAAACGGTGCATGCTCTTGGATTGCGCACGATAGGCGCTTTTGAGCTGGAGTGAGGCTTGGTAAACATTCTTGATTGACCAGATTGCCGTCATAGAATGTCTTACGCTGCCCTTGACTGCTCGTCCACAAACTCTGAAGTGCCTTGCATTCCCACTTGAAGTCGATACGGTTATCAACGTCAACGGTGACTCGGCGTCTCTTTATCGACCGGGGAAGGCCGGTTAATTTAGACTGAAATTAAGGTGTAGAGGTGTTAAAATAATAGTAAGGAGGACGAGGAGACACTTCCACAGACAATAGAGGGGAGGACAACGAATAGAGGTAGGAGGATGAACAATTGGAAGTAGTAATACGCTGCGATATCGATGAGGCGGAGAGAGATGGGGAAGGGCACAGTCGCAGTGGGATCTGTTGCAAATAAAGCCGAGCGGCAGAAAGAAGTCGAATTGCCGAACGCGGCAATCATAAAAATATCCGATTATTATACCAAACAACAAAATACAGAACAAACCTGATAATTAATTGAAGACTTGGACTACGATAATTAGTCTAGTAGAGTAATCTGCTATGTTCGAGCATATAAAGAACTGACCTTATAGATGAATTATACTGTGATATTTGACTGTTGAATCTGCTGTACTCACGGGTATCTAGGCGTTATCCTCGTGTATCGCCTTATCCCAACATCCGAAAAGGGAGGGAACAAATAGTTCAATGAACGCAGGTTGCCGAGCTTAGGTACAGGTACGCTCCCTCCGGACTATTGGTTATTTTTGGTTGACCGAAATTAAACGTTACACCATGTAAGTCACCTTGCGGTAGTACTGTGTCGTGATTTTGAATAACATTTAGGTCTTAGGGATATCAGGCCGAGACAACGTGCACGTCTATTTAATTGAATAGACACTAGCACCAAACAAGCAAGGTGACTCTCAAAATAACGACCAAAGCAACTCCAACACGACTGTAACAGCGGCTGAATTCAAACTCCGACTTGCGAAGTTATTTTCATACTCCCGTTGAGTCCGATACTTATTGCGGGGTTGGGGGGGCTTGCGTCTCACCGCTTTTCCGAAATAAATTGATTGATTTCGACTCTAGATTACATAAATAACTTGTTTTTCGTGAGCCTTCAGCGCAGCCGCGACCGAACCGTACAGGCATGGGTATGTGTTCTGACGGGTTCCGGCCACGCACTAAAAATATAATCAGGTCATTCCCAAGTGCTATCTCCAACTACTCCGACTGAGTGAGTACTGAGCGTTTGATGTGCACGCAAAACACGACTTCAAAGGCCTTGCGGATACTAGATTAGACTGGCTGTATACTGTTTTGTTGAAAAGTGTCGTGAGCGCCCTGCCATTTCACCAGAGTCGATCGCGCTACATTATATGGCACAGAGCAAAGAGTGTTATCAGCATTCTTACTGCCTAGGTCAAAGATGACGCAGATGATCTTGTCGTATGACAATCATGAATATGTGGAGTTACGACTGCTTATGGATACGCCTCGTGCCTAACACGTTCTTGCGTCTAGATCTATTCTTCGCGAACGTCACCTTACGTGGATTAGCCCTTTGTGGTACCTTGTCTACGACATATACAAGGACGGTATGCTCAGTCGATAGCAATCCTCGGTTCCCTTCGTCATGCCCCCACTCACTGGCAATATTAACGTGGCTATTCGCCTTATTGGCGAGGCAACAATTTCAACGAATTCTAGCACAGCAACGCCTAGCACAAACACCGAACACGCTACAAGAATCTCCATCCCAGCAATCGTCGGCGGTACTGCCGCGGGGATTGCGCTTGCGGTGGCAGTGGCAGTTGGATGGAAATGGTGGTCATCGATCGTCAGACATTCCGACAAAAAGCGCCGCTCGCGAAGGGTATGGTCTATGTAATTCTCGACTTTATGATATCTTTGTCATTCATCGTGCTCAATAGCAAAATGTTCTCAGGAGACATGACCGAACCACTCCAAACAAACCAAACGAGGCAGGTGGCCCCTCGAGCAGTTCGGACAGTACTGGGTGCTCAGACGCGAAGAAGAGTCTTGCAGATTCATCACCAAACACAATGGGCGCTATATCACCTCCCCCAACTCCCATTCAGCATTCCTTACGCATGCCAGCTGCTCCGTTGCCACTGCCCCCAATAAAACCCCCGCGGAATCCAGCTCGCGCTCTGAGACGTCCTTCAGGCCAATTCAAAGAGAGCCTCGCGCGTGGAAGCAGGTCATCATTTGCCTGGGCTTCGAACAGGTTGTCTCATAAATCAAGCATCAGCACTGCTTCAATGTATTCTACCCAGACTTATGAGGAGCAACAAGTGCGCGTGCCCCCAGCTGTCATAACAGCAGCTTTGGGTGGCACTAGACACCTTTCAAGACTTGGTCATAGTGCCGACCCCTACACCATCGGTGAAGAGCAGGCAGAGTTGGTAGTTCCTAGCTCAAGCCTGCGGCCTTCTACGCATGTCGATGCAAACATTGCCCAATTACATCGAGTCTCAAACATCAGTGCTGGGTCATTGTGCCTGCAGCAGGAGATACAAACAGCCGATTCAATTGGAGTAGCATATGGGGGTGAAGAGTCGTGATAGACTATGAAAAGCTTAGTGCTGGGAAGCCATTGGGCTAGATGTTCCAGAGGGATGATTGGACTATGAAATCAATACTACTAGCCATAAAATAGGATTTACACACTACTAGTCTATGAAAAAAACACGTCATGGACCATGATAGAAGTGTGGTGAATCTTCGCTCTTGACGGTACCTACCTAAGAGAAGCGAGATGTTGCTGGTAGGTGCATGCAGGACAGTGAGTTGAGAACCGAATGTCAGAATGAGTTTGCCTACCGATTCTGCTTGAGCTACACTAGCGTTAAACTCCCTCACTTCTCGCCAGCAGTCCAATGGCGCGGTAGGATTTTGTCTATGGGAGCGACAAATGAGTGATCTCCAGACGGGATAAACAAGTGACATAGGCTCACCTATAGCATAACACCACTGCTTCGCCGCTTTCCTTGACCGCAGGATAATCGCTGAGCTGTCTCCTGGTCTGGAATCTGTCCACCTTGGTACGAATCTCTTCAAGATCCCCCATCAACGTCATACTATTCTTGACATCGCCCTCGGCGACCTCTCCGCCTGCCGAGGACTTCTCCCGGTCAATGTTCTCCCTTTCAAGAGCGAGTTCAATTTCCCTCTGCACACTTTCCTCTTCCGCTCGTAGATGCTGCAGCTCCGCCTGTATGCGAGCACGTACGTGGGCATCAAGTGTGGATTGCCGTTCTGGCGAGGTGTCAGGTGATATTGAGCGATCTGAAAGATGGTTCACAACATCCTGCGAGAACTTGATATTTGCACACAACTTCAGAAGACTAGCCTTTAGGATAGGAAGAAGACCAAACCTGTACGGGCGTCTCGTTGTAAAAGACCTTTTCTTCTGTGTCCGCTTTGGACTGGCCAGCGCCCATGATTGACAAGGATTTCAGCAATAAATGTTAGCGTTTAACTTTCCATGGCGTTTCGGACTTTCAACTCGGGAAAGCTCGGCAAGCTTTAGTAAGTTACGGATGTATATTTCTATCGGTAAGTATTTACAGCTCCAGGTCTCTTGGCACCCTCAATGCTACCTCACGATACAGGTACAACATCACGGTATTCCAGGCGAAAATTGTCGAATGTCAACGTTAACAGCAGAACGACAACATTGACTGACCACTACAACTAAGTACCGTCCACATCAAATTAACCCGCAGCATGCCTATGTTGGTATTTATGACCGTAATCGAGTAGCCTTCACCAGTTGAGCGAGTACAGAGTCACAGAGAAGAAGCTCGACTCACCAGTCTGGTTCGATTTCTGAAAGTATTCTTATCCTAACAAAAGATGAAGTTTATGGCCCATCATACAAGTAGGTAGACATACTGTGTCCTCTTGGTTTCTTCCACTTCGTGGAAGACCACCCATCCGGTCCGCGGCTTCCGAGTGAAGAGCACAGATGTTGGGTGAACATATAGAGTCTGCTTGAGTGAACAAAGGTGAATATCGTACATTTAGCATTGCTTACTTTGTTTCCCTTCACCGACCGGTACGTTCCATCTGCAACCCATCGGGCACCGTTGCGCCAATACCCACTGACCAAACATTGCCGAAGTCGCTTAGCATCACCTTCGCAGCTCTGGAGTGGCAAGTTGAAGCGAATCATGTACTTCTTCAACTGAGACCGAATCGACACCGCTCTGGACATGGCGCGGAAGTTGAGAGCATGAGCTTTGCACCACGATGAAGATCGACCGTATTTAGTGAAAGCATTGTATGCTACCGAACATAAGCAATCAACTTTTGGGTGTAATGAGCAAATACCATTCAAAAGCGTCAGATGGTCCTGGTCCAATATTGTCAGTCTGCTGAATTGAGACGAATCAGGATGGATCATACCCCTTCCTCGGTTGTGAATTTTCGTCTCTCCAGTTCTGCAATTGCTCCGGGAGCACCATCAGGTATGACAAATGCATCCTATGATGTAAACAGGTGAATATGATGGTTACGCCAGTCCCATGAGGCACTCACTTGTATTGAAATCATGGAAGCAATTGTAAGAATTTCTTCACCGCAGTTAAAGTCCTTCGAAGTGAAAAGCTGCCTGTACATCAAGCCGTGCAACAAAAGTCGATATTGGTAGGAGAGCGCACCATTCTAGCTATATTGACTTCGATGGGGCATTCTGCAACTCGCTCGCCGATCGGAGTAAGGAGACCATTGTCGCCAATCATTCCTGCAGCAAAGAGCCCCTCAAGCGCACGGAGAATACTCTCTGCTGGAGGTGCAGAGACCCATTCAAACTTCATAAGGTCATCTATACCTAGAGACTTCAATTGCAGAATCGGAGTGGTCATATCAGTGCGGGTGATCTCAGGCGGCGTGCTTGTAGGAAGGGAGGCGAAAGCGGATTCAGGATATAATCGATAGCAAATTCCTGGCGATGTCCGTCCAGCGCGGCCAGTCCTCTGTATAGCAGATGCTTTGGAAACAGGAACTGTAGACAGTGAGGCAAGGAAAGTAGTTGGATTGTATGTCCGTATCTGGGGCCCATGAGAATGCGATCAAGACGGCAATGAAACTTACCTTTACGAACCCACTGTCGACAACAAACTTCACCCCATCGATGGTGACGCTGGCCTAATTGCATCATAAGACGCCAAGTTACTAAAAATGGCGCGACTCACTTCTGCGATGTTTGTGGCGGCGATAACCTTTCGCGTCCCTCGTTCTGCAACATTGAATACCCTAAGCTGTTCTTCCGTGCTCAAGCCAGCGTGCAGTGCAAGAGGGATTATCTGTGTAGCTCCTCGCGGAAGTCTAGAAAACATCATAGTTTTCATGAGTACGGGGAAATATATAAGGAAACAGAACGCGCACGTAGGAAGAAGTTCTGTAAGTTCCTCTAAGCATCTTTCTATTTCTTCCCGTCCCGTCAGGAATATCAAAATGTCACCAGCGCCGTGCTGCGTAATAGGAGGTGTTGTGGTAAAGGGCAAGAAGGGACAGGGGACGCACCTGCAGGTTAATGCTCCATGCAACTTCCACTGCTTTCCTCACATAGTCCGGAGCGGACTCTTGAAGGTAAGCAACTTCAACAGGAAACATACGCCCTTCCAGACTGACAATAGTGGCGTCGTCTGGATGTGTCCCCGAAGTGAAGTATTCTAAGAATGCTTTAGCATCCAAAGTAGCTGATGACACTATCAGCCGAAGCGATGGACGCTTGCGCCTAATTCTGCAAATTGCGCCATCTTAGTAGTCAAGGGGAAAGATTAGAGCAAGTTTAACCAACTTCTTCAAGATACCAAGCAGTAGATCTGTGTAAAGACTTCGCTCATGCGCCTCGTCAATCTGGAAACCCACTGAGCATATGCCGACAAGAGTGATGCAGGACTAACCATAATAACGTTGTAGCGCGAAAGGAGAGGATCTATCAGTGTCTCTCGAAAGAGCATGCCGTCAGTCATGTAGCATATCCGGGTTCGCTCTTTGTCGCTGACATCTTCAAAGCGAATAGTATATCCAACCTATGAGAATATTTGTGAGCGATGCAGAGGCACACCAGCTTGGCGGCATACCTCATCTCCAAGGAGGGTACCAACTTCTGTTGCGACTCTGATAGCGACAGACGTTGCTGCGACGCGTCGTGGTTGGGTGCAGGCAATAATATTACCTTCTGATGCCCATCCAGATTCTAGGAGATACTGTGGTAGTTCTCAGCCTGTAGTGAGATGGAACTGGGATCATCGATGAAATTTGATGATTGCTCACGAGTTGTTTTTCCTGAACCCGTTTGTCCGACAACGATTGTGACGCCATATTTTTCTATGCAATGCAAAAGTTTTTGTCCTGAAAAAATAGAGTTGGGTAGTGCTTAGAACACAACGACAGTGAACGTACGGTGTTGCCAAATGGGCAATCGTTCACGCTGCGCTTGTATAGAAAGGAAGCCATGCGAAGGTGCAGATTGAACGACATTTCCTTCCTCCTCTGTTTCCCTGTCATGTGTGCTTCCAGGTCCAGCAGTTCCTGGCTTCCAGAACGTCAAAGTGGACATGACGGTGGGTGGGAAGTGTGATCTAAGTATAACGATCAGTAGATGGTTGTTTGAATCCGAAGGCTTTGCGGCACGCAATTGTTCAAACAACCACCAATAACGCGTCACATTTCTTGTTATTACAATTAATCGTCACCTTTCCTCCCTTGCAAATGGATGCCCGAGAAGATCTACCTAAAATATCAGTGGAGACTGAACAGGACTGGCGACGTCTTCAGCGAAATATATCAACTGCTTTCCTGGATAGATTGGACTTGGAACTTGAATCTCAGGGTGTCAGCCAAGACAGGGAATCATTTCTGCCTCACATAAATCAAGTGAGTAAAGCATATTACATTCAAATACGATATTCTGAGATTTGTTAGTTCCTTGACACACTTTTTGCGATAACTAGACCAAATCTTCGTATCAACGGACGCACCACCGAAGAACCATACGATGACGACGAAGGTGAGGGCTACATGTTCGACAAGGAATTAATTTACTTATGAATGGTAGGGATGGAGCCTTTTGACGAAGCTCTTGATCGACATATTTGGTCGCTTTCCGATCAGCGACTGAAGTGGGATAGGGAAATTGGAGGTCGCCGTCGGACGCGTCCCACCGAAGTCGAAGCCATGATTCAGGGGGTTTACACTCAGCATCGTGACGCTGACATGAATATCGATACTAACCAGGAATCATATCTCTCGGATATAGATGGTACGTGCAGACGTTGAATGGGGGAACACATCTAACCGACCAATAGGCAGCCAACTTGATCCTGCGATAGAAGAGACTTTCGTGAATGCTGTTACTATGTCGGCTCAGCTTTCTCAGGTAGGGGTCTTCCAGTGCATAATTCAACGAACTTCATGATCTCTGTAGTCTATTTCCATGCAGTATGAACGGGCAAACAGATTTTCTGCTGTTTCGACCGAGGTCAAGGCACTGAAACCTTGATATCTACACACGTACGACGTGACGCACACTGGGACTAACACAATACAGAGCACTATCATCATGATCCCCTGAATCCGCCTCTTCCACCTCGAGGTGCAAAACCTCCACTGCTACCACGATTACTTCCTCCTCTGAAACCTCCTCTAAAACCACCCCGGTCGCCACCGAAGCCACCTCTTACCCCACCCCTGCTTGTTCCTCGTCCTCCCCGTCCTCGTCCCCCAGGGGCACCCCGTCCCCGCGGCCCACTGCCCCTTGCGGTACCGCGCCCGCGTTCTGAAGATGATCTACAATGAATCGGAAGCATATATAAGAGAGGAGAAAACGTACTTGTTACACCTAGAGAATAAGGCTCAGGCGCAGAAGTGGAAAGACCCATAGAATAGAGCATACCTGCAACTTTTGGTTTTGGGAGGAAACGCTCGATGGGTAGCAATTTATCGCCTCCAATATATACTTTATCTCCTTGCTTGAAGCTACTTGCAATCATACCTTCTCCCATTTTGACTGAGAAATAAACTTCATTGATAGGGCCAAGGATCTCGTCAACCTTGCCAATCACAGATTTGTTTTGGAGGTAAATGGGAGCGTTAAAGTAGGGAACCCTGTCTGATATGAGAGAGGAGCAGAACATCTCATCCTCTACAGCATGCATGAATGTCCCCATTTCTGCAAACCGTGAAAACGGTGACGCGAAATTGCAAAGATAATGAATAGCTTACCGACGACTGTAGCTGGAGGACCAAAATCACGCTGCTGGAAACCTCCACGTCCCCCACCGCGTCCTAGAAGAATTAGCCAAATTGGTCGCTCAATAAGAATTATACGCGTACCTCCTCCTCTGCTAAAACCTCTTGCTCCTCGACTCATGGTGTGCGAGGAATAAAAACAATGTGATTATGTAAGCGGATAGTTACAGCTGTACAGTTGTATGATATATGCTTAAGCTTGGCATATGCACATCGTGTTTGTCACATCCAGCTTGTAGAACACTGGCCAGCAAAGGCAACGTCCTTCGACAAGCTTTGGAATTCAATGAGCTTATTCTTCCGTCACTTGCCCAGCGTAGAAGGCGAGTTCACTCTCGAAGATCCTCCAAACAAGGCTGATAGCGATACTGTGCTCCTGAGCTCCCGATTGTGGGCATATTTATCTACACCGCAGGATTCACGCATTCTCATCCTAATATCTTCGGGCGACTCAATCGCATCCTCATTAATATCCCAAGACTTGGAATGCTTGACTTGTTGGGCGAACGAGGATCCTGATGTGCGTCCATTAAACCTGGTCATGTTTTGTTCCACCTATTCATTGTCACAAGATCGAGTGCATCACAGTTCCACCTCACTGGCCAGACCTGTATCCTCATATTTTTGGATCATTCAATGGCCAGCGGAAACTGCGAGTGTCTCGTGCAGAAGATGTCGTTCTCTCCGAAGTGGTTTTGACAGCCCAAACTGCCGATGCATACAGTTTTGCATTGTCCCACAGTTTTGCCTTCGAGGAATGGCTTTTCCAGTCGTCGCCGATCATTCGAACTGGTGAAGAACTACACCTTCCCGGAACGTTATTTCTCTCAAATGGCGACGTTTCTGAAGCGTTGTCCTCAGCGCTCCGCTCGTGTCGCTACAAAATTGATCTCACTTATCCATACTCTCAAGGGATTGTGGAGCGCAATGTCACACAGTTTGTGGTAGCTTGTTGCGACGAAGGAGCAGAAACTGGATGCACATCGGCTGTTGGCGAATACCCATCTGATGTTGAGATAGCTTCGGAGCCACTGGAGATCAGCGAGTCTTTTCTCATCACTGCTGCACTTCCAGCAACCGTGGCTCAACATAAGGGCCCCTATGAGGGCGAGTGTGTGTGTGTGTCAGTTTGGATGTCCTGCTAACGTAACTGAATGTTGCAGCCGTCGCAACGAATGCCTATTTCCGTCTTCAGCCAATTTCGCGAGCGACTGCAGATATCTTTAACCATGATGTCGCTCTGTACCTGCGAACATCTGATTTTCGTCGGGTTGGCATCCTCGATGGAGACTGGGTACATCGTTTGTCTTATTTTGCGCGGAGCTAAACTTGCTGTCTCAGGCTATCGTGAGTGATCTCAAGTCATCCCAGGCAAGATTGGTGCAGGTGTTTGCGCATGATTACAAATCAGTCCCTTCGTATGTTTTTGATATGTGATCTTATTCCAATCTGAAGGGATTTCTAGTGGTGTTGTGAAGGCCTCGCCGTCGCTGATTTCCAACATCCATGTAGACTCTTCTAGTCTGGCATGGATTCGTCCGAGCCCGTTTGGTAACCGTCAACCAGCAATACCAGTGGCTCGTGCACTTACTCTCTCTCGCATCGCATCTCCGTTTTCCACCGGACGCAAGTTCGAGACTCTTTTTCTTCAAGAAATACAATCCTACTTCCGTTCCTGTAAACGCTTGGTCAAACCAGGAGATTTCATTAATGTGTCTATTGATGCCGACGACGCAGAACTTGCTGACAAGCTTGACAATAGCAAGCTCCCGATCCATCGGTGAGCTAAGGTCTACACAAAATATCCGAAGCCTACCTCATTCTGACACAGGCTGTCGAGCGGTAATGCAGTGGTGTCCTTCGTCGTGGACAAAGTTGACTACGACCCCACCAGTGCTGTTGATGAGTATTGCAGCCATCCGCAGTTTTCTCGAGGCGACTACGGCTGTTTCATCGAATCCCAGCACACTCAGATTGTGCAACTCGGAATACAACATAAAGGTGTACCAGACATACACAACTGCAATGCCTTTCGTGAGGACTTTAGCTTTTGCAGGGTTGAGTGACGTGTCATTGACAAGCGAGTAGAGAACGCTAGTGCTAGATCAGGGGAATCACCTTTCACAATGGATGCAATGACTCGTTTGTCGGACGCGCCTCAATTCAAAGGAGCTGCGGAATTTGGTGTCTGGCCACTTCTGCTTATTTCAGGAGCTCGAGGATCTGGGAAGTTTACAATGGCCTCTTCTGTAGCCCGACGCCTTGGAATACATATTGTGGAAGTACGATCAATCACTGAACTCATACTTCACTAGATTCATTCATCCCATCGATAGATCAACTGTTTTGCGATAGTTTCGGAAAACGAGATCAATACAGAAGGCAGCTTAAGAGCTCGAATTGAAATGGCAATTTCATGCGCGCCATGCGCGATCGTGATTCGGCACATAGACGCGCTGTCCCAGTCTACTGCAACTTCGGAACCGGGAAAAGGTGTGCAGATATTAGTATGATATCATCTTCTTAACCAATACCATAGGTACAACAATGTCACATGCGCTGAACGATTGTCTAGCGGACGTGGAAGCCCATATGCAATCTACGGGTAGCCAGATTTTCGTTATCGCAACAGCGAGTGACACATCCAAGGCCCCTGCAATCCTCCTCTCGCGCTTTACAAACGAATTCGTGCTAAAGGTGCGACCGCTATTGATTGCTTACACAGACGATCTATATAACCTTCGGTGCACCTCTTACAGGCTCCGACTGAGGCAGAACGATTGAGCATAATATATCATCGCATAACTGATGTCACACTGGCTTCTGATGTTTCAGTGGCTTCTTTTGCCACGCAGACTGCTGCACTAGTTGCCATTGATATAGCCGATTTTTTGACACAAGCGGAGGTTATTGCTGTCAGAGAGTCACTGTGCGGTCAGAACTTTTCGAGTTAATAATCTCGCTGATCACGATGTTTGCAGTGACAAAATTACTTGCCGGACACGGTCCCCAAGTACGATAGCTATTCGAGCAAATCAGGTGGAATTGTCACTTTTGAAGGCGAGGACAACTTTCTCTCAAAACATCGGGGCTCCGAAGATCCCTGCCGTCATGTGGGAGGACATTGGTGGACTGTCGAGAGTAAAGAACGAAATATTGGACACTATCCAACTTCCATTGGAGCACCCTGAATTATTCATCGAGGGATTAAAGAAGCGTTCAGGTGCACTCATTTGCTAGTCTAGTCACCCAGCTGCTGAATTAGGTGCCACACAGGAATCTTGTTGTATGGACCTCCGGGCACGGGAAAAACGCTGCTCGCAAAAGCAGTGGCAACTTCATGCTCGTTGAACTTCTTTTCAGTGAAAGGACCCGAACTTTTGAACATGTATATTGGAGAGTCTGAGGCAAATGTTCGACGAATATTTCAACGTGCGCGTGATGCAAAACCATGCGTCATTTTCTTCGATGAACTCGACTCTGTGGCGCCAAAGCGAGGCAATCAAGGGGACTCGGGTGGTGTTATGGACCGTATCGTAAGTCAACTTCTTGCAGAACTGGATGGTATGTCTGCTGGAAGTGGAGGTGACGTCTTCGTCATCGGAGCTACCAATCGCCCCGACCTATTAGACCCAGCTCTTTTACGCCCTGGAAGGTTTGACGTCACATTTTCTTATGAAACTAGCCTTACGTTCTTTCCTTAGGTTTGACCGAATGTTATATCTCGGGGTCAGCGAGACGCACGAAGCTCAACTTGATATCCTTCATGCGCTCACAAGAAAATTCAAGCTCGATCGTGATCTTAGTCTCGCAGACATTGCTAAAGAGTGCCCGTTCCACTACACGGGAGCCGACTTCTATGCTTTATGCTCTGATGCAATGTTAAATGCACTAAACAGGAAGGTTGCTGAGCTGGATAGCAAAATAGGTCTGTCGGGCCCCATGATGTGTATGACATTCTAACGATACACTGAACAGCACAACTCAACAAACAGTCAGAATTTCGGCAGCATCCACTGACACCTCAGTACTATCTCACTGAAATAGCAGGATCAGGCGACTTACACATTTCGGTTACTCAGATGGACTTCATCCGTGCTCTGAATGAACTAGCCCCTAGTGTTAGTGCAGTAGAGATGCAGCACTATGCTACTATTCAGAAGAGATTCATACAGGAGATAGTGGAAGATATGTAACTGATAATGCTGTCTGGATGTCATAAATACCTTCTTGCATGATGACCTATCAGTAGTGCTGTGGGCAGAACTATTTGCAGGCAGTTCTGCTGGCAAAACCGGCAGAACATGGCAGAACTAGGGTTGTGCCATGGCAAAACCAGGCATAAGGTAAATTATTTGTCGACTACAAAAAACCATTTGTCGACATTAACAATGCGACATCCCAACCACTCTCTTCGCCTCTCGCACCATGATCAATCACCAAGAGCTCCTCATCAATGGACTTTGGCACCATACCGGTGTAGAGACTAATATCTCTGTGGGCTTGTAGGGACCTAAATTCCTAATGTTCCAATCACTTCCTAATGTAGTGCAACTCATATCTCACCTCAGTGCAGTTGAGTGCTTTGTTGGCCGCTTGTGCGCATGAGCGCTTCGATCGCGCATTGGCGCGCATCCTCGGTTCCGTCGCTCATCCTCCGTCCATCCATTCCATGTCCGTTTGGTTCGTTGGTGCGTGTTCCCATCATATTCCCTTTTATTCTGACATATCTCCGGCGCTTATGGACATATTCCGTATGTTTTGTCATGGACTCTTATAATTACATGTTATCACGTATCTGCTTCGCTTCTCGGTTCGCTGTAGAAACAACAACACGAGTTTGGTTATACGAAGATGGCTCCAAACTGATATATTTGTGTTGTGGTCTTTGCACTGCCTAGTCTGCTATACTTGCCTGACAAGTGCATTCGACCCAGGGGTCTGCGGTCTGGGAATAGTCTTGGGGGTAAGTGAGTAATGTGGGGTCAATAGTCCGAGCGCGGGAAACAATGTCCAAAGGTATAATTACGATGTCCGATGCAAAAGCGTCGGGTCCGATGTTTTCGGGTTATCGGGTTCGGGTTCGGGGTGTCGGAAACTAATAGTAACGCTATAGTGAGCGTCGGAAGAGCGAGTGGTGTGCGCAATA